GTATGGAACATTTTTACTTAGAAAAATAGATTATGCTGAGGTCTGTAATAGTAATTTAAATGATGTAAATGTGCAGAATATTATACACATTGCATAATTCGTAGGAATCTATTTATATTTGTCTAAGCTTGATTTGTATGTTACATAAGTGCATTTTTTATTTTATTTTTGAAATGTCTTATTAATATAGTTATTCAGTATAATATACTGTATAGCAAACCTAAATATTTGAATTTGGAAATAGAAACATGAATTATTAAATTATTATAAAATTCTTAGTTTACCAGTGTGTAGGGGTCTTTATTTAGGTAGGTAGTAGATACCTACATAAGATTCTGTATGATAATATATTGAATTCAAAAGAACGGAGTGATTAAATTATTAGGTTTATTCGGAAAACACTTCTATAAATATTATATGTTTTTTGAATATTTTATGTATAACTACGTTTAAAATTAAACATAAATAGTAACTATTTCAAGTGAAAATTTATGGAATTTCAGAGTATTTTTTTTTAAAGGAATAGTTATAAACACCGCAAAAACCTTATAGACCTAGTTTCATGTTGGCAGAATAGTTTTTAATTCTGTGATTTTCTTACTGCTATAAAACGAAATAAAAAAATAATGATACAATACTGAGTAGATAATTTTTTTTTCTTACAATACGCCTGTATAAATGCGATTTCTTTAATTTTTATTTTATTGCACACATATTATTCGCATTGCCATCATTTTGTTAAACAGTTCCCATTAAAAGAACATCAAACCAGCATCAGTTGCATTATTATAGTTATAGGCGTGCGTCAAAATACACAATATCGTATGAAAAAATTTGCAGTTAGACTAAATAAATAAAATATACAAAAGAAAAATAATGTACCTTTTTGAATATTTGTGGTTTTAAAAAATTAACAATATATACTATTATTATCTAATAATTATTTAATAAATTTAATGACAGTTAAAAATAATAAGTTTACACTTTTATAAAATCAATTATTTTGGGAAAAGTATACAATTTACTAAAATTCACTTAGATCAATAACTTAAAATTTATGTTTTTTGAATAATATTTTTTTTAATAAACATAAGTTATGTAATTAATTGTTGAAACTAATTATTTTGTCAGTTGTTACAGATTTAAATAAAATAAATAATTAAAAAGGAAACAATTTTTTTTGTTTTATATATTTATAAATATTTTCAATTAGGTACTCTTTATGAAGAAAGAGCTAATTAATTTAAATTTATTTTTATAAATATATCCAGTATTGAAGGATAAAGGAAAATATGTTTCAAAACAAATTATGATTGCTGTGTGAATGATAAACAATGTATTATTAATGAGTTGGAATTAGGAACCTATCTGAAATCGCGTGCCTAACTCAGTATGCAAAAATAAATGCACTCAACGTTTAATAAGAACTTAAATATTTCGCATTAATTTAGGTAAATCATACACGTTGTAAATGAAGCCAGTGAGGAAGTGGTGTTTATAAATATTAAATAGTTAAAATTAAATTATTAATTACGTAATATTATTATTATAATAAGTTATTACTTACCATTAATAACTTATAACTTATAAGTATCATATTATATATTATATAAGTATTGATCAGAATAAAATAAGTCAACCTTTGAACAAAACGATATATTTAAATTAAAGTGTGTCGTACTACTCGTATTGTGTATTCAATTTGTATGTTATTTTTATAACTGAATATTTTACTAAATTATTTAGAACTGTATTCTTCAATACAATGGGAAAGCGATTATAACCTTTATTAGGTTCTATCTTTATAACATTTATCACTTGTAAAATGATACAAATAATTTTATAATTAACTCTAAGTATTTAAAAGTATTATTTTCTTTTAAAATTTTTGAATAAATTTATAATGATTTTAGAAAACGTATTGGTATTAAATCTAAATGATTATACGTAATAGCTACATTTGTAGGTTTCAGACGTATTAATCGCTTTAATTTCTTATTTTCAGATAGATAATACCTACGAATTAATTTATTTTTAATTACATGTTAAAGATATTATCTAGTCTAAGAATTTAGTATATACCTATATTAATGTTTTATTGTATTTATAATTATTATTGTTTTGTTATATTATTATAGTACCATAACAGTGTTGACAATTTTGAATATCAAAATGAAAATATTTTTATTATTTATTATTTTAACATAGAGACTTTTGTTAATAGGTTAGGTTATATTTTTGGCTGAAATACTTCTTATTTAAACTGAATTTTAAGAGATCCTTTTAATATTCAAAACTCTATTTTCATAATTTTATTGTCAAGGTAAAATTTATAAATGTTGCTATATAATAGCACACACAGTAATAGTTTTTATTAAGTTGACACATTTTAGTTTCAGTATTTTCTTTATGATCTTCTTAGAAAGATATTTTTACTGTAACAAGTTGGTGAATAATTTATAATTACAATTACTTATATTATTGTTATTATTAATTTGTAATTGTATTTCTGTGGTATGTAATAAATTAGAAAAATTATGAAAAATGAAAAGACGTTTTATATTATTTATGTTACATTTAAAAATTAACAAAATATAAATAATTTAATGTTTTGTATTTCTTGGTTGTTATATTTAAAGAGCACATTTCGTAATCAAAAGTGGCATATAAAAAATACTTATAATGTCGAACCAGACCGAGAGGAACCGCTGTGTGTTAGTATAATAATTAGAATCCAGATTTGTATGCATTTGTTTTTTTTTTTTGAGACACCGTACACTTAAAAAAAATTGTCACTTCAATGTAAGTAAGAAATTTCGATGATTTATTTAGCATAAAATGCACTAAAAAATGTTATGTTGCGAATAAATGCATATTTTAGGGATAATGGTATAGAAGAATTATATTAAACATACTTATAAGAAAAGTAATTTTCATTTATTGTTTCGATTATGTTTTTGTACATAAAGCAAAATTTTTTTTTTAAAGTAATAAAAAAAGAAATAGACTATCTTTAATTTGTATAGATGTTTGTATAAATATTTTCTTTTAAATTATACTTAAGTTGTTTATTTGATGTTTATAATCAAACATTAAATTTTAGTAAAAAATTAATATTTAATTTTAATAATATTATCAAACAGTACTTAGATATGCGATATTTTGAACAGTAGCATGTTTTTACATGTTTCTAAAACATTTAAAATCATACTATGTTGCATATTCTAAGGTTTTTTGATGCATAAAAATATACAATAATTTTTTTTAAATATATTTACAGTCTGTTATTTAAAACAATAATTAATAGTTTACAAAAATTTTTTATCATAATACGCACATGAATAATTTGTGAAGAGAGTTGTTCATTAACAACACCTAAGAATGTTTTTTTTTTAGTTTAAATTTTTTTTTTTTTTAATAAAGCAAATATCTGGACCAATTTTGCTTTAGACAACGTTTATTATTACCAGGGATAGATGAGGAAGATATAATATTTATAGATTTTTAAGCCGCTTTATAGATACTAATGATTCTACCTAACCACCGTACACGTGGTGGGTATACGTTAATATTATTGCAATATATAAAGTTCATAAATCATATTATATTTTATGTAGTCCTTGACTGATGTAGTAGGTAGTTGTTAATAAGTAGCTGTAAAATTTGGAGACGAATTACGTTTATCTAAGTGAGTAAATAAATTGAGGGTATGAAAGAGGTTAAGGATTTAAATAGTAAATACTTTCCAGCATTGACTTGAGCTCTAAAAACTAAATGAATTACGTATATTTTATTATTAAATATATTTATTATATTTTTGAATACATTTACTATGGAAAGAGATCGTATAGTTAGAGTATTGTTTTACGTTTTTTTTACATTTTTAGGTATTTTCACCGACATTTACCCCATGGTATTTTAAGAAGAACTTTGAAAATTTGTCGATGTTTTTTTGTATAGGGGGGAGGGGTTATTTTATTGAGTTCTAAATTAAATAGTATAACTGTTTTGCGATGACGCCTACGCCTTACAGCCTCACTACATCGGACCTATTACGTGCATGTAGTTTTTCGACGCTCGTGCGAAGACACTCGAACTTTATTATCCACTTTATAATATGAGTACATAATATTATTATAATAAATTATAGCAAGTATTTACGTTTACAATGGGCATACACTGAGCGAGTGAGAGTGATTTTATTAGTCGCCTTATGGGTGGATCCCGTCCAACGTTTTAATAGTATACGTGCGTACATCAACGTGCACACGTGCAAATTTATCGCGTAGCTACCTGACTACCTACCAATAATGATAATAATTATAATAATAATAATTATTATACAATATTGTACAACAGCACACTATAGTGCACCAATAAATACGCATGCGCTTCGCAAAATACAGCACATAAACACGATGTGTATACCTCGCAGATATATAGGTACTCGTATATTATTTATATTTATTGTAATACGCGAGGTAGGTATGTGATGGTGATAATAATAATAATATGATGATGATGATGATGATGATGATGGTATGTGCGTGTTGGGAAAAAAATTGTTATTATATTATACGTGCTCTCAACGGGCCACCTGCGATGTGTGTGCTCCGGTGCAGTGTGTGCTGTTGGACAAAAACGCGTACCTACCTTAAAATATAATATGTTGTGTATACCGTGTATACTCGCACACACACACAAACAAATACGTACTTATACACATATATATATATTATATTATATATTATTATATTCAGTGTATATACACGCGGATGTATGTGTGTGTGTGTGTGTGTGTGAGTGTGTGCGTACAACATATACACGACAATGCGAGGACGGGACCGGGGCGGCGGCGCGTGCGTCAAGCGCCCAAGTCCGGTTGTGTAGTAGGGGTTGTTGGTCGGGCCGCCGACCGCCGACCGCCGCGTGTATGTGCGTATGTAATAATATGGGGATGGCCCGGCCCGGGCATATAAGAGCGCGCCGTGCAAAGCGTGTGCGCACTAGATCGGCGGCAATTTGTCATGCCGGCTGCGTTGAGTAGGTAACCTACGATCTCGTTAAAATTTCCGTATACGCACTGCGACCAGACCGACACACCACTATCGTCGTCGTCGTCGTCGTCATCTCGTTTACAAATCGCGTCCGTACTGCAGTCCAAAATAGCTGCACATCGTAATAATTATTATTATTACAACGATAAAATAAAAATAATAATAATTATATTGCGCGCGTCGCATCAAACCGCGTGAAAACGTCGCGTAGTCGTTCAATCTCACACACGCGGCGCGTACCCACACCGGCGATTGCCGTATACGTTTCAAGACATCAGGAAAAGATCCTTTTTTCGTCCTTCCGTCGGTTTCCACGTGACTCGTCGACGACGCTCATCGGCCGCATCCACCCGCGTTTCAAAAACGCGTAGTACCGCCGTGTGCAGCCCGCAGTCTGCACCCCGTGATCCGCGCCGCAGCGCCGACGGCGGTTCCTGATTCCCGCGGGGCACTACCGCTGCAACACACTACCGCGGTTTAATAATAACACGATATACCAGGTATATTATATTATATCCGACACGCGGTCCTCGATCAACACGGTAACTGTTGCGGTACTCTGCGCCGGTACATAACCAACGACAATGGACGGCACCACGTTGATTTTGATATACATGGTCGTAGCGCTCGTCGGTTTCGCGCTCATCGGGCCCATGGTTCGCAGGCGAAAATTCATCGCCTCGTTCAGTGCCATCGCTGGACCACCGTCTCTGCCGCTCTTCGGCAACGCACTACAGCTAAACGGATCCGCTTCCGGTAAGTCGGTATTTCCGTTCGACTGTTATAAACGCTTTTCTATACGTAATATTACAATAGTATGTACCGTCGCGTGGTAAGTTTTTATTTCGAACGTATACCAAACAGGGCTGAATCTTGGGTCGAAAAGATGAGGAATTTTAATATTTTCTTATTTTTTTTTTTTTTTTTTTTTTAATCTAAATCATGCATAACGATCTAAGTATTTTTCTTTTATATATTATACATTAACGGTAGATGGACTTTGTAGCAAACCAAATCAAAGTATGTTTTGTTATTATCGTCATTGAAAACGAAATGTGTTAACTGCAAAAATGAGTTATATACTTAAATTTTAAATTAAAATGCTCGATCAAAACAAATATTTTGACATTTTCACATATAGTTACAACTTTTAGTATGATAAATATTATATAACTGTATATATTATATTATCACTTTAAAGTCTAAAAAATGTATTATAATTTATAACTTATAAGTATAAATTAATTGGATATTAAACAAATTATTATGGTTCGAGTACAATAATATCAATACTATTGTGTGCGTGTGATATATGTGAAAATTTTTTTGTTCGAATATTTCCTGTGTAAGTTATTTATTGAGAAGTATGAAAATGTAAAATTTTATGACGAGAGAAATTATCTCATTTTTTAAGGGTATATAATAATTTTTATTGAAATATTTAGTTATATCTAAGTTTTTCGATAAAAATTAGCGTATTTTAATATTATTCCCTGGTATTAAATTCTTATATCTATCTATAGTACAAAACGTATCACGTATTGATGCACTTTTGCCGAGTTGCATATATAAAAAAAAAAAATTAATTTAATAGTAAACGGAAAATTAACGAACCAATTATGGGCCACTAAATCATGTCAAGTGATTATTAGCTCACTATTGGTTCATTAAATGTTAATATAGTCATTGTTTATGCTATCCGATATTATAGTTGCCTATATTGTATACCTATATTATGTTTACAACAATGTTTACAATGAATAAATAAAATATATTGACACGTTATTGTGTTACTATACAAAAAATAGTTTTTAATTATAATATTACGTGAGTACTTATTTTATATTATATAAAATAATATAGAATTGTTTTTCCCGCCGTTAAAAAATCGCGTCATTTTTCAGGTAACACTGTGCGTCGATTTTTAATATAGGTACTGTTGATATACCTATACAGTACTCCGTGAGTTAGGACTGTTGCGATATCGAATGATTTATAATATAGTAGGTAATCTTTTTAATAATATTAGCTGCTTAAACGCAGGTTTTTATGAGCATTAAGACAAATAAACATTAGTATTATTAATTCGAGACACTTAACAACTCCGCCGAATATCGTCCAATCATAAGGATAATAAATATAATATTATGTACACTGCGCGATTAAATAATGACTTTTACAGTTTTACCTAATAAAATTTATTTATTATTATAGCACATATACATGTATATACATATAAAACAGTTTTTTTAAAAAAATAGGTATTTTAGTATCGTTTACCACGTTATTCTTTCAAAAAGGTTACAAACTTAGAGATTAGGTATATGTTAACACTGTTAACAATTATAAAAAAATAAAATGACTGTGAATAATAAAACAAGAGTTGTGCTTAGTTGTGAGAAAAATTTAAATTAAAAATGTACAAACAGCTGAGATTATTTAAACGCTAAATAACAAGTAATTAATGACTATCATGATTTCGACTTAAGCGCCATAAGCCATCTCTTTGTTTATAATTTAAATCATAAAAAGTGTATAATTTAAATAATAAAATTTAAAAATTAAGTTAGTAATATAAATAAAAAATTAAAATTTTAACCCGTTGAATGAATTTTCAACAATTTTACAAGATTTGTGTTAAATTTGTAGAAAGCCCTGTGCATTTGGTATACTTGTGTTTGATATACTTATATTTTAATTTAAAAATGATTAAAAGTAATATAATTATGATATAAAACACCCATTTTTATAACTACAATAATATTCTTCGTATAAACAAATATTTAGTATTTTATCAAATTTATAAACTATCATTTAATAATCAGTAATAAATTACACTAATTAATAATAATAATATATTTAATGTATTTTTTTTAAATTTGTGTATCATTAGTGCAATTATTGTCTGATAAAATTATACTTTACAATATAACGTAATGTGTACGTTATAATAATTTAGCCAAGTTTTAATTAGAGTGGGTCGTCATCTAAATGCAAGTTTCAATTATCTGAATAAATAGGACAAACAAAAGTATTTGGTGAACGAGAATCGGTTAAATATATGTAGTTCAGTTGATTAATCAGCTATTGATAGCCAACAAGTAATACAGTTGAGATGTCTAGTATAGATAAACGAAGGACGTAGATATAGACTAAATACCTAATGAGATAAAATTGTTTTAAAAAGTACTTGAGTTTTATAATAATACTAGTTCAAACTTTAAATTAACCAAAAATTAATCTACCGATTATCTGATTGTTTTACTTTTAATATAAAGGAAATAATACAATATTTAATGTTTACTTTAGATAAATGAGGTTAATTTAGTTTTTGTTTTAGTAAGGCACTTTTATAATATTATATAACTATGTTAGGTCAAAGATAAATGTAATTAATTTTATTATATTTTGTTATTTATATAGACATATATGAAGTGTATTTATTAATTTGTCGTTATTGTTTTAGATTTCCTATTTAGTGTTAGATCCTGCATTTACTTATTTTTTAAATTGCCTGTAACTATAAATATGTAAGAATATTTACTCAATTATAATAAAATTTATAACTATGGTTTATATGTTATACTCTGGTTAATTAATCACCTAGTGTTGTGATAATAGGTAATGTAAATTATTTAAAAATTTTTTTTTCAATAAACACAAAAATATCTAACTGTAATATATGTATTTACCTTTAAATATATTAAGTGATTTGAGTAATTTTTATTGATAAATAATTCAAATACTATAAAAATTCTTATTTCATAAAAAATAACTATAAAATGAACGTGATATTATATTGTTTACTATCTAAGTTGCATACCGTTTTGATAATTTTTAAGTCAACTTATTGATTTATATTCATGACCCGGGTATGTATTTTAAATTGTAATGAAACATGTAGCTACGTAGACAGTCTATATCGATGGTATGCATGAAAAAAAAATTCCAAGATAAGGTTTGATATTTACGACATAATAATAGATACTATAATTTATAATGTAGATATCTATGTGAATTTCAAAAATATTGATTATCCATACATTTCATAATTTATTTTAAAGCAATTTAATGCAAAATTAAATAATTAATCAAAATAATATTATTTTATTCATGTCATTAATTCAATTACAATTGCCCTTAATTGAAAAAAACTAAAACTACATACTTGATTTTTTTCTATCACTATTCTTACTTAAATCATTTAAATGGCAGTACAATTTATTTTTGCTTATAATAATATATTGATAAGCAAACAGATAGTGGATAAATAATGTAATTACGTTTTCTTTTTGTTATTAAAAAATTAAAATTAAGACAATAAATATATTGGTACTAAGAAAGTGAAAACATATTATTTAGAAATTATAACATTAAATATGTTACATATGTATATAATATAGTTGTTGAATTGTTAATTATTAATTACAAAATAAAAATATATTTTATACGAATATTCAAATAATTAAATTTTTTTTTTTCATATCTTTAACCAAATTTAATTAATAATTTAGCAATTAAAATTACTATACCCCATTATTGCCAATAATAAATTTGTTAGCATTATTAATAATTAAATTTTTAATAATAAAATATTGAGAAGAGGAAATATTTATGGGAACTATTTATTAAATAGAAAAAGGGTATCTTCGTATAACATTCTATTTATTTATCAGTACAAACCACTTAAACATAACCTGTACCTATAGATAGGTTTCTTCTAAATTGTTCCAAGGGCGTCTGCTGGTAAAGAACAGGTGGTAAGGGTTTTTCCTCCCCATGAATTTATAATAATGACGTGATATATAATAAATATATTTTGTATTCAAAATTTAAAAAATCAATTTTGTTATGTAAATATTTTTACGAGAACTAGAGTTTAATAACGATTATCTTTATAGATCAACGAACCTTAGTCCCCCTGAAACTGTTTTTGTGATCGCCCTTGAATATATTTTTATCTTTAGTTATTTTTTACATGTTAACATCAAAAATTATAAAATACCAACATAACTAATTCTGTCTTGGCAGATACCAATTATATCATCTTTAACCTTCTCGTTTGTAGGCACTAACCACTCAAATGTATCTTGGAATAACTACACATTGTTTTCTTTTATTCAAATATTTATAATTATAATTGTATTATTTGAATAGTTACTTATTTTATTTATATTAACTATTGCCTATTTAGAATTTGAAAACGTAGTGTTCAATAACAAATGAATTGCTTAAGTAAAAAATAATGCCATTATGAATATAATAATAATAATTTTTTGTCAAGAATAACTTAGAATACTACATACCTATCTAATAGCATATACTTGACGCCCGTAGAAACATTTGGCTGATGATATTATTGATGATATCTCTTCAGGGTATACATTTTTATTAATATGTTTAACTAATAGTTATCAAAAATCCAAACATATTTTAAACGAATGTTAGAATTGAGCATTATAATTTAGAAGGAAGGTATATTCTTTTTACCAAATATTTTGATAATCGTGATTGACAACAGTGAAATAGCTAACTATCTAGGTATTTTTAAAAATAGTGTCATTAATATAGAATACTCAAATAACTTATGGTTTGTTTAAATTAAATCGTAAAAAAATAAATACACAATATATAAATTATAATGTGATACTTTCCGTTAAATTAGCTATACGAGTACAATATTGAGTTTTGATATTAATAAAATTTTATTTTGAAAAATAATACTAGGTTTTAAACATAAAAATTAAATGTATGTTGTTCAGTGAAAAGTTGAAAATATAATAGGTACTTATAATAAATATTAATGCATAAATATATACCTATATTATACGTGTATTATAGTGACGTATGAGAATATGAAATTAATATGTTGATTACAAATTGATTTGTTTATTTTAGTCCACAAACGTCATAATTTCCTCTTTCGTATGAATAAAACATGTTTTTATAAACACGAAAGATGATTATCAGAAAAAATTACCCAGAGAAAGTATATATCTGTTGAGTTGGTTAGATGTACCTTTATAGGTATTATAATTTACTTTAAATATATTGTATTTGTTCATTTATTTTTGCAAATTATAATTCATTATTAATAAACATATATGTCAGACTGTCTGACATGGTGGCCTTATGAACACGTTAAAAAAAAGGAATATGATAAATAAGGTAATATTTATTTATATCGTATGTTTTTTTTAATAGGTCAAATTTAGTGCTGAATATTGTTGCACTTAGAAAGTGAAATAAACAGTAATACGGGACTGCATTTTGCACACACCGCCAATGTCATGGTTGTATTTATGCACACCTTTCAAATAATAATCACAATACAATTTAAGAAGAAATGGGTTGTCTATGTATTATATTGGAAACAATAAATTAGCGAGTTAAGCATAAAAAAAAAAAGTTTAAATGGCTAATAATATCATACAGATAATATTTTTATTTTAATAAACAAAAAAGTGTATAATCAACAGATTCTTTTATTCAATCAAATCTAAAAATAATTTATAATGTTTGATGTAATCTTTTTGAAATTATATTATAGGTATATAACTAACGAAAAATAAGTACCTAAATTATAACTATAAGTTGAATAATTAATAGAAATATTTTTACCAAGTTAGCATAATTAATATTAAAACATTAAATAATTATTTAAAATTTAGTAATATTAGTATAATATATCTTATACTATCATACTTATTAAGTTCTTTTGTAAAAGATAACTGGAATAGTTGCCTTCTAATATAGTGCATTAGTATTGCTTGTCCTTTTTCATCCTGAAAAATAATTTATATTCAGTAGTTAGTATTTATGGCATAGTGGAATCGTATTATTACAAATTATGTAATATTATATGTAAATTGTAAATCAGTATGTTAATTGGCTTATTATTAAATTAGGTACATATATTATTAATTATTTTTACGATTATTATTTTGTTATATAATTTTGTCGTTATCAAACAAATATTACAAGTTAGGTACTTATACATTTGATTATGTAAGATGTACTGTAGGTTTATACGATCATACCTACAATTTTAAACCGATTTATTTTCTATTTTATTTGGTTCGATTCCGCGGTCACCTATACGCATCTTTTAGGTATTTATGGAAAAACATAAGCAAATCATAACATTAAAAGTATACTAATCACGTAAATAAAAACGACTAAAAATGAAAATGTTTTTAACATATTTCCCGGTTTTTAGTGTTTGCGCGGTCATATATTATACGAATATACGTATATGTCGGCGTTATCAGGGTGCTTGTGAAAAGCGAACGTTTTAATACTTCTCGTTTAATAACCACCACCGAGAGCACCGACAATAATAATTTAAACGATCGTAATAATAATAATAATAATAATAATAATAATATACGACGGCGCGATGACGAGTCAAGTTGTATGTATTATAAGCGGTGTACTGTACCTTTGAGCGGCAAAACCTTTGAACCGAAGTCCGTCGCCTTCGCGGCGGCCACGCCGCCCGCGATCACACCTTCGGAGTACACCCGCTGGAGCACTCGGCGGACGTCATCGGCCGTCATCGACACCGCGGTGCCGTCGTCGGGCGGCCGACGGGCGCCGTCTTCAAAGTCCACGCGTCGGACGTAGTACGGCAGCAGGCCGACCCTCTGCACCGGCACGGGCCTCCGCCGGCGCAGCGCGCTGACCGCCGCGGGTTTCTCTCGGTACGTCACGCGGTTTTCGTAGTACGCCGCGGTCTCACCAGGTACCGGTTGACGGTCGGGTCGACTCAGCACCGTGTCCGCTTCACCGCTGCTCGTGCCGTCGCCGACGAACGACGGCAGAGCGCACCTTGATCGTTGTTCCGCTTGTCCGGCATCTATGCGCGGGCTTCCGGTTCCGCTTCCGCCGCCGCTGAACTTATCCGGTCTACTGCAGCGGCGTTTTCAACTGTCACTCCTCCGACCATCAGCAACGCCGCTGACAGGCGGCCATCGCTCGGACGGTCCGTGCCATCGTCGTGCTAACGCGATGGTCGTTTCAGACCACCTCCGCGGTTTTGATTGGGGGCGGGGAACGTGATGGCTGCGGGTGACCGGCGGTTTAAAAAATTGGCGTTGAACAGTGTTTTAGCGTTGATAATGTGACTACAGGAAGTGATCGAAAATACGGAAGAATAGTCTGCAAGTCTGCACTTAGGTGCGCACACTGCGATTCATTCCCTTCCGCTGTTCCGGCGGTCGATAAAACGGTTATACCGCGAATGGTTCGTAGACGATATCCCGTCCGCAGCGGATATTATCTCTGACGAGCAGTCCGCCACTGTACAGCGGAAGAAGACGATTTCGAACGTGACCAAACAGCGTGTGTCGTCTTCGGTCGTCCGCTCTCCTCGTTCGGCGTTCCGAGCTTCCGGAGGGCCTCCGACGGAGAAAAAAATTGCACGCGTATTTTCGACATTATTTTCCAATAACAATAATACGCACCATGTACATAATAATATATAATATTATATATTATTATTACACTGTTTCTGTGTAACGGGACTTATTCTCGGTAAAAACCAAACTGCGCTCGCGTTCGATTGTTATATTCGCGAATTACATAAACAAACCATTGCGCAATGAATTGTGTATCTTTTATGCCGCACAACAATAATAGTATTTCGGTATAATAAAACAATATGCAATACACTGATCAGAGCACTTGTACGATATACTCCAGTAGAGACAGAGATATCTATAGTAATACGCGTAGTATATATATATATATATATATATATATATTATTAGACCTGTAAATTTATTCAGTCACAAATATCGCGGTACTCTATACCGGCCTTTAAATCTCTTATATGATATAATAAGTATATATATATTGGGGTTGGCCAAGAAACGAAATTTTGAAAACTTTTATCCGACGATTTATAATCACGATACAACTTTAATTTAGATCGGGATGATTGAACACGTAGAACGGATAACCTTCAAAGTTCAAACCTGAAAGCATTTCGAAAACACATTTCAACTCTTTTTAACACACACTTATTCCTAAGTGTTTATTTTGTGCGCCCCTTCACTTTTGCCAGCAATGCATAATATACTCTATAAAATACATACTCGATCGACTTAAATAATTTTCACTGTTATAAAACGCACAGTTTTCTAATACATGCAGTCCCTATACTGGTTATATACTACGCAAATACATATTGTTAATCGATTTTATTATTTTCCTTTTACAGATTTCTTTAGACTTTTACTCAAATGGCATTCAAAATTTGGAGACACGTATCAGCTGTGGATCGGTCTTCGACCATTCATTGCAATGGCTGACGCTGACCATATTCAGGTAATAATAATAAATTATTAATTTTTAAATGGAAATTTTTTTATTGAATTAATTTATGGAAATATTTTAAATGGGATACAATAGAATTATTAGTTCGACAAGTGTATAGATTAGTATTGGTTACTTGAAAATATAATAATAATGACAATTTACCATGAATCACGTATTGGTATGTTTATTCGTATTGATTTATATGATTCTTTGTTATTAATTTAAATTTATAAACTACAATAATAATGAATACAAATAAATAATATCGATTTTCATTAATGATTTCTATAATATATTTTTTTATTTATTATAATAATTATGATACTAAATATTGTCAATAAGATTTATTTTTATCATAAAATTATTATGCACCATATTGTTATCTGTTAAATCAATGAATAGGCATTATTTATTAAAATTGTCTGTTAATTTAATAAGGTGGCGTTATTTACTAAAATTTAATTGATACATTGTCTGTAAATCTAGTGATAATAGTGGAAAATAAAAAAAAAGAATCTTAGAATCTTAGAAAATTGCATCTTTTGAAATTATTGTACTCGATCTAACTATTGGAAGTGCTATCATATCCTTGAATAAATAAATACAATATACGAGTATCTATGTCAGTAACGACTATTATTATGAGTGATTAAAATATATATTTTTGAACAATACTCTAATTCAAAATAATTTAAATGTATATAAAGATTTATACATTTTTTTTTAAAATTACAGTTCAACTTTATTTTATAATAGATGCTTTACAATAGCAAAATACTTATAAATTGATTAATTTATCAAATTTAAATTAAATATTTTATTTAATAAAAATTATAAACACAATGTAAATACTTATGTTTAAAAAATATTTTATAAAATAAAATGATGTATCGTTTTAATTACTTTTTAGTACAACATTAATAAAAATTCTAAAAAAAAAAAAGCAAAGGAGTTTTTTCCCTTCCGCCACCTCTAAAATTTAAGCTGTTATCGAGTACTACTTCCAAAAAAAGCTTAACAATAAACTACACGATATTGTGTATTATAAATTTAGAGTGTATTGCAAACATATTATTTATATTAAACGGTGTGACCTAAATATTTAAAATGAATATTGGTTTGAATAAAAGTAAAATGTATAACAAACAAATCGTTAGTTTTGGTTGAACGAAAGAAAAATCTGTCAGTGGGTTTCTAAAAAATTATTATATTTTAAAGTATATATCTATTAACATTTTGCCTTAAATTTAAATTTTTGTTTAATCTTCATTAAGATAGTGGACCTCATTATAACCATAATCGTGATGGGGCCTAAAATTTTAATGTTATCGTAGTATAATATACAACAGCACATGATTATCATAATAAAATTTTTTTCCAGACAAAAATGTTTTTTAAATTGTTATCACATTTTCAAATAAGAAAAATATTAAATTTCAACGTTATTTTTAGATTATAATTTTTGCTTATTTATGTGTATTAAAATTCAAAATACAAGCAAAACATGTTTTTTATTCAAACTATATAATATATCTATATTACACTATTAAATTATAGATATTTTTGCATATACATAAACAGAAATTCTAATCAGCATTATGGGGTATAACCGGTTATTTTTGACTAAGAAAAATTAAATTTCTCATTTTTATGAATTTGGAAATTTAGTCATAATGTTACATAGTAATATTATATTAAAGCTTTGATTTTCAATAAAACTGTTATAATATCTAATATACAATCATTATTTTCAGAGATATTTTATTCATCACTTAGGGGTAGCCGCAATTTATCCAGTTATCTCTCAGTCCAATATATTATTGAACAGTGCAGTTCATTTGTAGAGTAATAATTTCATCAGTTAATTATTATTTAATCATTTCATATTCATTTTAAATACTATATTATAAAAATAGTATAGATTTATAGTTGTTTCATTATGCTATCCACATGTATTTATTGTCAACTTATTTTGTAGGTAATGCTTCACTGTATTTAGGTCGCGTACGATTGCACGTGCCAATCGAAAAAAAAATACATCAATACCAATTATTGCTGTAGCTAATGGTAAAATTTCGTATTCGTTAACGACCTTCCTTGTGTTATATTGAGTTTATCATCAGATACTACTTTTGTGTTAATGACACTACTTTATATTATTATAATAATTATCTATTATATACGTGACATGAAAATACTAAAAATTCTAATAAAAGTTATAAATATCTAATAATAGTTATTTATGTTTACCGTTTACCGTATTAATTTGTTGAATTCATAATTTTCACAATCTTCGTGTGAATTTAACAATATTATGGTAATGTAGTTGGTACCTACTCCAAAGTTAATTAATTAAGATAATATCCGATTATTCTTTATTAAAATAAGAATATTACGTTATTATCTTATTGATTATAAGTTTTAACACATATTATGCACATATTTTTTTGCTGATTAATTAAATTTATGTTAAGTTGTACTTGTAAGCTCTAAAATTATAGGTTTGTCGATTTTATAAATTTTGTATAATCTACATACCTACCTATAATATTGATATTAAATTTAATATCATGTTAATTTAACTAAAAAAAGAGACTTTATTTTACTTTATGTTTACAAACATATCAGTCTATTCAAAAAATAAAAAAATTCACTTACTTAGTAAAATTACAGAAATCAATACATTAAGTACTGGTAAACTATAACAAATGCACAATCAATCAATTGCTCAGTATAAATATATATATTAATCTTGTGTAAATTTATAAAAAAAATGTGGAAGCTCACTGATTAAGAGGTATTAATTGTACCTTTACTGTAAAAAAAAAACTATTAATAAAAAATCTTATATTTGAGTAAATTTTCTTTAATTTTTAAATATGGGTAGTTAATTTCTATCATATCTGGTTGAGTTTTATACTTATTACGAGTAAATAATTACGTACCTTTTAACATATGTTTTTGAATCAAAGTATTTATATATTGGTTTGCATTTATAATTAATGTATAAAAAATTATAAAATTTTAATTTTTAACTTTTATTTCAGCAAGTTTTGAACTCGAAAACTCATATTGACAAGAATTTAGAATATAATCTTCTACTTCCATTTATCGGTACAGGACTAGTGACAAGCTCAGGTAAAAATAATTTAAAAAAATAATAATAATTTACACACAAAAAGTAGTAGTAATATATAGATTATAGTTAATTATTTGTCTAAAAAAAAAAAATTAATCTATCTATCAATACCCTATAGTTTATATTGATATTTTTATTCTATATGACTATACAATAAAATGAGATTAAATTTTATATCAATTATTATAACACCGCATTATTGTTCTCCTTAAGGGAATTCTATTAACGTATTAGTTAAGTAATAATGCAATAAATTTACATTGTATAAAATATGCGAATGCATTATAATTCAAATAACTTTGGTACCTACATCATAAAAGAGTATATTATTTAATTTGAAAATAGATTTTATTGTTTATAATATTTAATGCACAATATGGTAATTATTGTTATGGAGCTTCAAGTAAAATAATAAATAAATTAGGTGAATAAAAAACACAAACGGCGTATTAAACTTTCAATATCGATCTATTGTACATATAAATATATATATAAGGTTAAGATGGTAATTTAATTACATTTTTATAATTTAAGTTATAATGCTCACAATTTAATCTGACTGGTAAATATTACTCTGCCCGAGCAATAATTATATTTTAATGAGCTACCCAAAAACACCGCGGTGCAACGCCTAGACAATTATTTCACTGTACTATTTTAATAACTATACTGATTATTTCTGCTCTAAGAATAATGCAAACTTTGATACTCTTTATTAAAGTTATTCATTTTTGATATGGGCTTACAATGAGTCTATAATTTTTTTATTACATTTTTTTTTTTTTTAATGATAAACCGTTCAATAGTCTTAAGTAACTATTTCTAATTAGTCATTAGTATTAGAAAATTAGAGTTTTTGGATCCTTGTAGATGAAGAATCAATTAATGAAACCTAATAAGTTATAAACAATAAAGAATGCAAAAATGATCATAACTTAAATTCAATTCGTACCCAATTTAATAGATTAATATTGTATAATGACCAGTTTAAAAACATCTAAAGGCTAAAGTTTTGTTATTCGATTTAATTTCCTATTTCACTAGTTCAATAGCTATATGATACCTTGAATTATATAATTGTAATATCTTGGTAATTATATAAGTAGTTAATAATAATTATACAATTTACTGTTTATAACCTTATAAGTAAGAAAAATAATTTAAAAATAAAATATTATTTATCTATTTTAACATGTTATATAACAACTCTCATTAGGTATTTTGAAAATATTAAGTTTGTTAATTAGATACTTTTTAAAAACTTATTAGAAAAATGAAACGAAAAACTATTGCATAGATTTATTTGATTAACTGCATTGCATTTACTCATCAGTCATATTATAATTCACGATCAGTGGTGGATTACTTGACCGTATTATAAGATTTCATGTGCTCTAATTATTGATGATCAGATTGTTTTCGATTAATTATATTTCACACAAGCTTACACAATTATTATTATATAAACAATTAAATTACTAATAATTTTAGATGGCAATAAAAGTACTAAGTAGGTCAGAAACGTAAAGCGCATAAAACGTGTCCTTGACCCGTCGTAAGTATGGTTCGTATAGTCACAGGTTAGCTGTGGCTTCTGTTTGCTACTATTTGCATTCAAGGTCAAACATTACCACAACAATAAATGTTGACGTTAGTATCATAATTCAAAGTATAATGACTAACGAGCTTTCATGTCTCAGTATATAGATTTTTTGAGCAGAATAAGTTTATTGCGGACCTATAGTTTAAAATGTTAAGTGGTATCCATTAAAAACTAGTATACACCAGTGAAGCACTAATTAAGAGTTACGATAAAAAAAAAATGAAAGCTTTAAATTAATTATTCGTGTTTATTTATATTAAATATTGTATAAAAATATGACTATGAAATTTATCAACAATTCTAAGAATACATAAATTTGAAATGTATATTTTTCTTTTCTATTTTTAGAAATATTTAAGTTTTAGAATAATAATTTAACTCTCTATAACTTGATTGTTTCTTTTTTCACTAGAAAATTAATTTGCCTACATGGCTACATATAATTCTGTACAATTCAATTTAATACATTAAATACTTATTTTCAACTTTATACAGAATTTCAAGTTATCAAGCATCGGATTATAATTGATTTATCATACAACATTAATATTTTTAAAGTTAAAAATATCAAAACTATAAGCATAGAATATTTTTTCATGATCAAATTAAAAAAGAACTAATGTTGTTATATTTTTTTATATATAATGAATTATGATAAAGACTATAAAACACGAACAATTTATATAAATTGCAAATTCATAAAAAAAAAACTAGTAAGAAATATATTCTACATAATAATTTTGTTAAGTATTCAACAATGGTTCTTGCTTTTGGAAACCATGCGATATTACCAATACAAAATCGAAAAATTTACATACTGCATACAAACAATACTAAGTTTTGTAACTGGATACGAGCGAAGAAAATGTGCTTGCAAAATGTACAATTGTTATGTTAAGCAATAGTAAATTTTAAATGATTTTTGATATTTTTGTTCACGTGGGTATGTCGCTTCGGTTACACAGAAATAATTTATCCGTTGATAAATAAATATCAAAAAATGAACAGTAAAAAAATAAAAAATAAAATAATATATTTTTTTGTTTAGTAAATAAATTATATACTAGTTTATTTATGTGTATAAATATATTAAATATATTTTTTATGTAAAATAATAACCACATTCATTATACATTTTTCAATTTAGGATCAAAATGGCAAATGAGAAGGAAATTATTGACTCCAGCGTTTCATTCAAGTATTCTCGAAGAATTTTTACCATTAATAGAAACAAAGTGTAAAACTTTAGTGAAAGTGTTAAGAAAAGAGCTCGATAACGTTACAGGATTCGATATAAAGCCTTACGCAAAATTGGCTGCGCTAGATATCATCGGTATAACGGCTATGGGCTACGAGATCAATTCGCAGGAAAATTCTCAGTTGGAATACGTTAAAGCTTTGGACGAGTGAGTAGAATTTTAAGCACAAACCAACTTTTTAGTTGAAATTGATAAACTAAAATCCATTATTGTTTACAACTATTAACTATTTGAAATTCTAAAAAATTAACAGTGAACTGTGATGTAAACACAAAATTTCGTGTACAATGAAAAATATGTCATGACAAAATAACATAATTTAATCATTAACTGTTAGTTTATAATACTTAAATTTACATTTATTTATGATCGATTTAAAAAAAAGTATATATATTCATAGTTTATTAAAAATATAATATTAATAATGAGTTATTATAAAAATTATCTCTTTCAAATTTAATATAAAAGTTTCAATTTTTGATTTCAGGCTTACCGCAATCATGCAGAAACGGTTTATAACACCGTGGTTGAAACCAAATTTTTTGTTCAACTTAACATCACTTAGTAAAAGACAAAATGCGTGTATAGACGTTATACATACATTTACAAAAAAGGTAATTCCATTGAAAATAACTATTGTTTGCAGTATTATAATTTATAATTATTAGTTAGAGTTTAGTAGGTACATTTTTATATTATGACAGTAGATATTTTTAATTTATTACAGGTTTTAAAAGAGAGGAAGGATAATTATAAATTATTCAATAACCAAATGTCAGATGCGAATAAAAATGAAATTCATCACGGTAAAAGTTAAATTGTGACACATTGTTGATAGCGTTCTAATAATTTTATTTTATCCTTAGGTAAAAAATATAATAAAGCATTATTGGATTTATTGTTAGAAGCATCTAAGGATGGAAAAGTTCTGAGTGACAACGATATTCAAGAAGAAGTTGATACTTTCATGTTTGCGGTAAGCATAACATTTTAAACAAAAATATCCAAAATTAAAAAAAACTGAATTTTAGTTAATATAGTATTCTATAGAGTTAATTATAAATTATATAGAAATACCTTCATTTATTTTTAATAGTATTACGTTGTTTTTTTTTCAGGGAGTTGACACGAGTTCCGTCACTTTTTCTTGGATTATGTATGTTTTGGGTCAACATCCACATGTACAAGATCGTATATTGGAAGAATTAGACGAAAAAATCCCGAATTTCGGCACTGCAAAATTATCATCAACAATTTTAAACAGCCTTGATTATTTGGAAAGAACTATTAAAGAGGTGATACGACTTTACCCAACCGTCCCATTTATCGGTAGACAAATTTACGAACCACTCTCAATCGGTAAGAAAATATTATACAATTCAAGACAAAAAATATTCTATAAATATTTAGTTATGAGACTTAAACTTAGAAAAATCAGTATTTTTTTTATTGAAAAATTGTTTTCAATTTCAAATTTAGTATAGTCATAGAATATGTTAATATAATATTATGTATCTATAGCATTATGAAAAAACGGAAAAAAAAACACGTGTAAAAAAATTCTTAAGCCCTTATATAATAAACAATAGGTACTTAATATAATATATTATATTTATGTTTATTTATTGTATACATTACGTATAATACTATTATTTTTCAACTGCATTTTACAATACAATAACTGAAATCATTTTTTAAAAAACAAATTATGTATTAACACGATCTTAACATAAATCACTATTCAGTTATTTATTCATTGCAAAAGAAAACATTTCCTTACAAACTTGATTTTAAAAACGATTGTAATTATTGTTATAATAAATTGAATATGATAATACATATTTTACCTACTACCTAGCTACAGACAATCGCCATTCAAAAACAGTGTGTCAGTGTCATATCCGAACTGCGTAGAAAGAATGTTTTCCTTCTTATAAATATTTAACTGTTTACATGATATTTTTATTGTGAATAAATGTTTGCAGGTGATCACACTATTTTGCCAGGGACGTCGATTTTCATAAATGTGTTTGCTTTACACAGAAATGAAAAACATTTTGAAAACCCGAAAAAGTTTGACCCTGATAGATTTTTAAAGGAAAACAAAAACGATCAACATCCTTATTCCTATATACCATTTAGTGCAGGATCGAGGAATTGTATTGGTAAGTAATAAAACATTAAAACCTCATTTATGTTTTGTCATTTTGATGATAAAATGCAAAGAAAAAAAATAGGGTTTTAATAGAGTCGTGAAGAAATCTATTAAATATCCATAAAAAATTGTGATGCGATCATTCATGTTTATTTTTTTATGATTTAATCAGATAAAATTCTTATAAAAATCGCAATTCATTCTCCAATAAGCATGTTGCACACATTTTTAAAATAACATCTATATATTTTTTTATGTAATTGTGTTATTGAATTATTATTCTTATAATATTCAAATTATTAGAATAATTAAGTCGTTAAATATTAATACATTTATATTTATATTTTTTAATATAATAATACAATGACCAATGTAATCTGATTTATATTTATTTAAATTTTTTTAGAATACATTTTTTATTTTAAAACATTATTAGAATGAACTTTTAAAATAAAAATAAGCAGTTCAACATTATACTTGCATGTTTACGTTTAAGTAGCTAATTAATGTTTGTTGAAAATGAAAATATTTTTTTTTACCAAATTTATAATATATTCATGTAATAAACAAAAACAATTTAAGATGATATGATAATAAACGATTTAGTAGTTAGTAAATCAAGTATAAAATGAGTTAAGTTTCCATACTTGGGGGTATGATTCCAAAAACTTTTCAAATTATTGATCCCTCTGAACAAATAAATTTTTTTATTTGATATAATATATTTATCAATATTTTTAATTATTTTATTTTCGTCAATCTTATAATACTTTCTATAATACAGTTAAATCGTATTATTGTTTTTCAATTTGTTATCTTCTTTGCTATGCCAAAAATATTTGAATTATTTTTTATGATTACTTTGGGAATGCTATATTATCATAAAATATTAAGTATTTGAGTACATCATATTCAAATTAGTATCTTTTTTAAAGTATTTGAATATTGATTATCAACGGTATAAAAAAGTATTTTGTCTAATCATGCTAGTCACTGCAACATAACTAAATACGTACACGGAACCAAATATTTAACAAAACCTACAATGCAGTGGCTCAACCAAGAATTTTTCATGGTGGTCTGACAATATAAACCACCTTCATATTAATTAAAGTGAATGCATCACTACTAAAGAATATTAAATAATATATTTTTAATTAGATTAAAAATTTTAATTTTTAACAGTATAATAATATATATATATTGTACTTAATTAAAATTTATTCGAGTTATGATATTAATTTATGTGCCAAAGGAGGAGGATCCAGATCCAGAGTCCACTCCCTTTTGTTGCCCCACTGTTACGATGTACTTATCACTTATACTGTATCTATATCGTATTTTAATGATTTGTTTTAGGAAAAAAGTTTGCATTGCTTATACTCAAAATTGCTGTTGCTACAGTGATAAAATCGTACAGAGTTAAGTCATTAGACCCAGAAGAAAAGTTAGGCCTTGTCGGTGAAATCGTATTGAATGCACTGAATGGAATCAATGTGACACTTGAAAAACGGACGTAAATCTATCTTTGTGCTCACAGACTTTATAATAAATACATTCATTTTGTATTGACTATTTCCACTGCGTAATGTTAACTGTATTTAAGTATTAAGTTTTTAATTATATTGGTATTATTTTTTAAGTTTTTATGCATTGGATATTTTTTTTTTTTTTATCATCATTATTAATTAGGTATATAAAGTTAATATTATAACTACTTTATTTTTTTCCAACTTTTTATTATATTATTATTAGATTTACATTTTGATATAGTGTTAATTTTACTATAATACAAGTATAACAATAATAATGATATAATTTTTTTTTATAATTAGACTGTGTTTAATTTTTTTTTATATATATTATATTGAAACAACATTTTTAGTGTAAGGTAGTCTCGGAGCCACGGAGGCATGGACGTTATTTGATTTTTACACTAGGTATATCGAATTTAATTGAGCAAAGACTTCTATAAATCATTTGTGTATGCTGCATATGGTACTGACAATATTATCATTTTTATTATAATTTTAAATTTATTTTATCGTTAAAAATTAATAACAAGTTATTTAGCACTTTTTATACATAGTTATAATATACATATCAATGGAAAATGAAGATAAATGAAGAATTAATTCTTTTAAACTGCTATTATTTGTTCTATATTTTACATAGATACGAGAGAAAGGGCCTATATTTTAATTAATTACGCACTCGTTAAATTTTAATTATATAGTTATTCACGATTATTATTGATAAGTCTTTCTGGTATAAATAAAATGAGTAATACATTTCAATACTATTTACAATTTAAAAATAATTACATAAATATTTCTATTAATATATATTATAAAATATCATTTTTTACTTCTATTTAATGTGTAGACATACATCAATATAATTATCTGCGCATTTTAATATCAAACTAGAAATTGCAATAAACCAAATCGTCTTAAGTTTATAAGAATATAAGATACTCTTGTTAAATTATGTGTTATTTTTATTAAATATGATAGAGTTCTTTTATTTATTATTTAATACAAATAAATTAATTTTTCAAAAATAAAACAATATTTTTTTCAATAGAAAAATATTAACTGACCTGTGTCTAAAAAATAATTTTAGGTGGACCTCGAGCTTAGTGATGCTTACGAGTTATATCTATATAATATTAGCTGTCACGATTACAACTATCAGTTTTAATAATATAACGCATGTGTGATGTTTTTGCCGAAAATTAATTTAAATTATTTAAATAAATAAAAATATAGATAATAATATAAATAAAATATAATATATCGTCCTTAGAAATAAAGATTGCACACAGTTTCCTTTAAGAATCGTTTTTCATGTGAAATGATTTATAATTTGAATTCAAATTTAACACATTAATTACAGGCTATATTAGTGACCTACACGATAATATAAAATATAATAATAATGAACATTTAAAACTTGATAAGCCAACAAACTTGTTGGTGATTTTACTGGGTTATAAATCTTGAATTCAACTGTTGGACTCTTTAGATTCAATTGTTTTTGAATTTTTTATTGGGGATAATTTTTTTTTTTTTTTTTAGTTAACGCATCTAGTTATTTCTATATACCTCATCATATTATAATTTTATTAAAATTAATGACATTTTTGACAGCATTATAATCTTAGCGAAAATATTGTTACCAACTATTGGTATATTTGGTATATAATATATTGTTATTAAAATATGTTTAAAATCATGTTATTCATTATTTTTGTTTCAATAATAATTTCCTCATACCATTTAAAGCTTAAATTTTACAGTTTAAAATGTCTGATGTATGTTGAAAGTTATATACAGGATACTTAATCAAGTACGATCACCTTTTTTTTATTCAATAATGTAATTATCCAAAATTTGATTTTTTGAATATTTAATTATACTTAAAGACCATACTATCAATTTATTAAAAAAATTTTTAATTTTACAAAGATACAAATTTTTTATTTTTAGATAAAATTATCTAAGGAATAATTTTTTTGAAAATATAGACGTTTTGAAATTTTAATTTGATTAGAGTAAATAGTTTTTTTAAGTAGTTATTTAATTTTATATAGGTACTAAAGATAATAGACCCCCATTAGTATTTTTAATTATTTTAGATTTTGATACATTAATACTTTTAAAAAAATTATCCACTAAATAATTCATAGTAGAAAACAAAAATTCTTGTTTTAAAAAACAAAAGTTTTTGTTTAAAAAAATCCTAAAAATCTGAAAGTATGATCTTTAAGTACTTACCTTTAATAGAATATTTAAACATTTCTTTAACCAGATTTTAAATAATTTCATTGTTAAATTAAAAATTGGAAGTGAGTTAGTGAATCATTCTGTATATTATCTTCTAATTTATACCGTACTCATTAGTTTGATAATAGTAGGCATTAATATGTGAATTTGAGACGGAATTCGATAAATACCTACTTTGAAAATATTTATGATTATATAAACATGATTATACACTTATTCAGACATGTATTGATAAAATGTTTTTTTAAATTATTATTATTTTTTTTTTTTAACACACATTACTTTTAAGACCGTGTTTATTTATAATAATTATGTGTCAGAAAGGGTCTTTCAAAAGAAGTTTATTCAGTTGAGAATTTTTTATAACATAACTACCTTTTTTTATAAGGATAGTACCTATTGATATATCTTAAAAACAGACTCTGATTATGTTAATCATCACAATTCATGAGTATTGTAATACTATGATCATCACCAAACGCAATTATATGATATGTAAGTACCTTTTCCATAAAAACTTATAGCTGAGTATAATTTTAAGTAAAAATTAAATTAATTTTTATACATTTAATGATATTACAGTCCGAATGTATCGCTTTAAAATTATTAAACGCATAAATAGGTACACTTAGTACTTATTAAAGGATAAAATAGTTACAGTTTTTTGAAATTTATAACGCATGAATGCTTTTGTTGTTTTTACATATTTTTTTTTAATATTTATATTTCTATTTATTAGTTGTGACTTATAAATAATATAAAAATGTAGTTTTATTACGAACTCGAAATACCATAAACCCGAGAAAACGTTAAATGTCTACTTTTATTTTGCTCACTACAATTAATTGATTGATTGTTTAAGAATTGAATAAATATTTGTATCTATATAATATACATTAAAATTATCTTTGTGAATTGTTGTCATATAACATAACTATACATTTACGCATGAGTGTATGTAAGTATGTTACAGTATATAACAAATAATCGGACGCTAAGATAAAATAGTTAGATATTAAAATACCTAATTCTTTCATTTTGAAAATACAAACCATAGACAATTTAATCTTCATTAAATTGAATAACGGTGGCGCTTGTGGGCATGTTTGATCTAATGTTCGTTTTGAGATAAAAAAAAAAAAAAACATGATACCAATACAGCTATAATAACTACTTGTTTATCTATTATGTTTTATACTATCGATGTATATGCAAGTGTAAAATAGCAGACAAAATATACGTGATGAAATGTACATTTTATTGCAAGATTTTATCATGTAGATATCCATATTATTGTACATATACTATATTATTTCAATATTTATAAATATATTTTAACAAAAAAATGTACTTTATAATTTTTATAGGCGTGTTAATAAAGTCTTCATAATGTCTAACTATTTCAATAGGTTAAGGTAAGATACGTATTGTCGAGATATAATTCTATGTGTGCAAGTTAAATTTATAAGTTATTTATATGCCTAATATGAATACAGTCAAACAAATTATGAAAAAAAGTCATAAAAAATGCTGTCTCACATTTGGTGAATAACATGATTTCAGTATAATATAGTATGTTATACATAGATATCGCATATTTATCTATATAATTTTAATGATTTAATTATTTTAATAAGAATTGGTCATACCAAGTAAGAAATACTATTAAAAACAATATTTATCTGTAAATGGGAACATTTATGTAAATTTTTATCGATAATATTACATTTAATTATAAGATAAAAAAACGCACAAGTGTCGAAAGAATATTTATGATAATATATTTTTTAAATTAATACGTGAAATCGTAAATAATATTACAATAAAATAATTTATTACATTGACGAGGCTAAGTTAGGAAATATTTGAGTGGCTTCAGAAGTTTTTGGGAACCCTAGTCCCTCTCTGATTCACGCCTATAAACATCGTTTAGTATTTGTACTTGATGTTAATAAGACCATTTAGAAGAGTTTTGAGTAATTTGATAGTAATTGAACATCATTAATACTAAAAAAATATTTAAAGTATAACAAGCATTTTTGTGGTTTATCTAAGTTTTAAACTATTATTTATAAAACAAATTATATTTAATGAGATTCTTGACTAAAATCTGTAATTTAATTCACTTAAAATAAGTTTATCTCCACATTTAAATATATTATTCTAATTTACATTAGTAGTGAGTAGGTATTATAAACTAAATTTTCCTATTTGAGTACATTTTCTCACGATCATAACAAGCAAAAATAATGAAAATATGGAATGTCTGCAATTAAAAACAGCTATAACAAAACTTGAAATAATAAATATTAAAACAGGAAAAAAATTAAGTTTTTCGGCTAATTTCGTTTGTCTTTTTTTGTGCATGAAGTTAAATCCATAGATATGCCCATGTAACTGCTTGATAATTTTTTTTTAAAAACCTGGTGAAATAATCAAAATATTAAATAAACTAAGGTATTTTATTCGTTATAAATTTATCACATTTAATGTTACAAATTTAAAAACATACCTAATTATTCTGAGTAAATTTACATAGATGACTAATACCTATTTTTAAGAATCATAGTAGATAAATATTTATAATTAAAATATTAAGTAAACAAATAAATACTATAAAAAAGTAGAGTATTTTGTTATTATAACAATAAATATCCATATTTTTATGATTTTATAGGTATGATATTGTACAAGCTGCTGCAATTGAGTTAACATGTAGGTATTATAATTTATATTACGTCATTACTTTAAAAGTTGAGCTTAGATACTTATTATCTGTTAGCTTTTAACAAGATATAAGAATAATAATTGTAGTTAATCGTATAGTAGAAATTATATATATATATAAATATGTACATTATAAATTTCTTATAATTTTCTAGTGTTATAACCAAGCGTTGTAACTCACAATTCAATTTGTATCGTATAATATAATATTTTCCATATATTTTAACTTCGTAATCCAACGATAAAATCTTGCAAGGCCTTAATATAGACATTATTACTTAATTAGGTTTTAATGAAGCATTGAACTTTTGAAGTAATATTGAAATATTGTGATTAGAATATTCTTCTTCTTAAATTTTCAATTTTGAAATGTTTTTAAACAAAAAGTTCATAATAACATAGGCATTGGTTAACACGATTCGTATGATATGATAATGATTATAGTATTACCAGAGTAGTTATAGACGATGAAAATTCCCTTTAATAATAGTAAACTTTATTGACACGAGTGCAAAACAATGACCGTATCCATTAAATGAATAAACAAAAAACGCTATTAGACAATTTAAAAGTGGTTTGAAATATTGCAATTGTATAAAAATATTAATATGACAAATATTGAAATATAGTAACAAATGGTAAACAAATCACTATTAATTTAAATTATTATCTGGTCAAATAATATAATTATTCTCGACTAGGTCAAAAACAAAGATAATTTTCATGACGTTAATAATAATTTTTAGATCAATTATTTAAGATTACTAATCCATCAATTATTACTAAATACTAACAGAAAAATTATTTATTCATTAGTATTAAAACGCTTGTGTTGGTAAATATCATATTTAATTTAAAATTATATATTATAAAATTTAGCCTTAGTCATCGATAATAGAATAAGAATTGGAAATAAAATAAGGAGAATTTTGAATTAGATGTGTGTCTAAAAATATTTTAGAATAATAATAATTAATTGTGCTTTGTATTTTCATCTAAACTTTCCAAACATCACTTTAGTTTCAATCGACTAATGAATTCACTGTATTCACTTATATATTATATACAGAACCAGAATTAGGGTGGAATGAAGCCTAGGTCAAATTTTTTTTAAACAAGGCTTATAACATAAAGACTTTTTTTTATAGTAATTTTTTTAAAATAATGTATAATTTTATTAACGCGAGGCCCAAAATTTTATACATAAGTGCAAGACCCGGAGTAGGAGCCCCACTAGCCCCTACCTAAGACCGGCTCTGATTATATAGGTAAATAAAATTATAAGTGAAACTTCCATAGTACTAAGTCTCAATGAGTATCAAAAAGATTCTTATCACAAACAAATTCATTAAGTAAAATCAAATAAACTGGTCTTAATTGTTAGTTATGGTTTTAAAAAATCTAAACAGAAAATGTCGTCAAATAAAAGTTTATTGCGATGATAAATTTTTAATATTCATAATAATAATATAATATCAATATATATTATATTATAAATATTACTGACAAATTTAGTGTCTTTAGTAGAAAGGCACCATTGGTACTAATATACATAAATTATTAATTAATAATTACCAATATCATTTATTTGTTTTTGTTACAAATAATATTAATAGCATTCTTGCTAAATTATGTTCACACATTTTATTATCTTTTAAAACCAAATATTTTTGTATGGTTCATTAGCTCTTTATGTTGGCAGATGACAATTTGTTTAAAGTTAGAAATCCTGAACGTATAGTCCAATAGGTAATAAATATAGTGCATAGATTCTACCTGTAATATTATGTTATTTCTAAACTCATAATATCAATAAGCAAAATTAACTTATCAAAAAATGTTTGTCAAAAGCAATAACTAACACATGTGCAAGAAATCTGCTTGTAAAATATTTTATCATCATTAATTTATATTTTTATAATTATAATTATTATTGTGGGTATGTCATACCAATGTATATTTGTAAAACAAATATCCTAAACGTATTGCTAGTTGATTCAGTGTTGCCAATAAGACTTGAATAAGTATAACTCGGCATTTCGAAAATAACTGTATTTTAGTTTTTAATTTTATGAAATTTTATTTATCGAACCATTCACTAACATTATATTATATCTTATAGTTTCCGACTGATTATTCAAAATCACATATACAAATTATTAGGTAAGTGTATGGCCTCAAACGGCTAGACATATATATATATATAAATTATTTTTATTAATTAGTAGATACGATAATTATACGATTATTTGTTTTTAAGAAAATATGGTATTTAAATACAGATTGACACTAAAGTAAATAGAAACCATATTAGTTGTTTGTGAGATAAGCAGTACACCGAAGTTCATATGTCAAGTTACCAGGATTTAATATATCTTAATGGTAACCGGTTGTACAGTATTGCCCAGCACTTTAAACTCTATAGACGTGTGCAATACAGTTACATACTAATATTGTTTGTAAATTCTATACAATGATGCTACGTGCGATTTATAAGAGCAAGTGGTCCGTCAAATCGATTTCAACAAAAGTAAGTATTCGGATAGGTAGGTAGGTACTTAATATTATTATGTTATTTTAATAGTCACATACAATGTTATTATTACCTACTCACAAAACGTATTTACAACACGTAAAGATATATGTTTAAAATTGGTTTAATATTTACAATGTATATCCAGCGAGTTGTAAATCGTTATTTATATATGAGAGAAAACGAATTGATGTATTTTTAACTTTTAAGCGATATAAATTTTAAGTGTGTATGTTTAACGTAAAAAATATTACGAACAATAGTAATAACTAATATCTAACTGTTGTTTTATGATCCCACACGTGGCATACTACTACGGGCTATAAAAAATTTGGTACTACATGTACCTAACTGATTTTGGCAAGTGGCACTATTGAACAACCACACATAGGTACTTTTTATAGATATGAATGAAAAAAATGTAAAGACAAATAGGTACCTACCCAAAAACATATAGGTACCTACCTACTTAAATAAGCTTTGTTATAAATCACGAATAATCCTATACCTATCATATCTTATAGATAAACGTATTTTTATCAGTTGTAAAATTATATTTTAAAGTTCAAACACTCTTGAAACAACGTTACCTACTTCCAAATTTCTTATCAGTTTTGTTTAAGCCTGCGTACAACATGGCTTATTTACATCGATATCGTGTTGGCATTATAGTTTTGTGTTGGTTATTAGTATTATAGTAAGTATATTAAACATTTCAAAAGCTTATATACCTATAAAAATATTGAGTGGAATCGAGATTTGGATAGGTGCCTAAGTAAATATTTATTAATAATAATAATTAGAATTTGATTATTATAGTAATGTTTCTATTGTAATCTTTTAGATTTTAGTAATTTTACTGAGTAATATAAAAGTAAAGAAAAAAAATACAACCACTAAGACTTATTTTAAATTAATCGTAGGTACTTATTGAAAAAATTAAATATATTATTTGGTATAAGGTAAAGTTGATAGAATTAGGATCATAATTTTTCATTCATAATCTTTTATAGTTTTGTACCGTTACCTAGATTTATAACTCGAGAAATTACGATGGCAAAGTAACTGTGTAATGCAAATATATGATATTCTGTATTGTTTTGGATTTAGGTGGTTAAAATAATCAATGAATTATTTATTGCGTAATAAATAATAAGAATTATGTATCATGTATGTTTCTAATGGTCAATAACATCTTATTATTATTTATTTATTTATTTATTTTTTTTTTTTTGATACCTACATACTTGACTAACTTGTTTTTATACACTTTAAATAGGTCTATTAATTAAAATCTACAATACTTTCTAAAAATTATTATCATACCATCTATAATTTGAAATGAACCATCAATTTCTTTTTTTATTTATGTTATTAATTTAGAAATCTATAACTTAATAAAAAAATTAATTTAAACAGTTTTTTAAATTCATTGGTGAGATATATTATTATGAATATTAAGTTAAACTTCATAAAGATATGTGTCTTTTAAAATTTACTTTTAAAAGAATACAAGAAGTTATATAGTATATTATATTATAATACAATAATAGTAGATCATAAAAAATAACACGTAAGAAAATTTATTTGTTTTTAGACTTGTACCTTTGCTCTGCAACGTTTTAAAATAATATGAAAACACAATTCATGGTATTTAAATATTAAAGTAATTTAAACGGTTTTTAATATAGAGACCCTAGATAACTGATTAACCATTAGTTTACTTCAATACTAATAAAATATTAGCATTATTGTATTATTTCAATATTTATAATCATGATTATTAGAATAATTGTAGAACTTATTTAAAATTTGAATTTAGTAAATGTAAATTTAATATATACCTTATTTTAAATACAATATGTATATTTGTATAAGCTAAAAAAAACAAATTTATTATTAAAAAAAATAATTGAAAATAAGGGTTAAATAAAAGCAATTAATTGATTCAAACGTCAACATATTTGTAAGAAAGTTATGTTTGTACTATAATAATGTTAAACGTAAAAACATTGGAATTAATTTTGAAATTATTGTAGTTTATGTATCTGTGAACTGAAAAGTTAATACTGTCCTTTTTCTTTTGAAATAATTTTTTTTCGTATTTACAATGCGAGTATAAAATTTATGTGTATAATTTAACATCAGTTTGTTTATAATCTTAATATATTTTTCAAGATATAATTAACTAATAATATATTTTTTTAGAAATCATTGTTTGATGAAGTTTTGACGGACACATTTGGTAGGAAACATAATTATCTTCGAGTGTCACTGACTGAACGTTGTAATCTTAGATGTAAGTGAACACTAGTATTCGTATATATATTATTTATTAATTACAGACCTGACTTATTAAGTTTGATTGAAAAATGGCTGTACAAACAATTTTTATCATGAAAATAAATACAACATATGATGTACAAAAATATAAATAATTTTAATTATATTATTAAAATCTCTGTACTAAGTACTTTTAAAACGCGATTTAATTAAAATAAAATTTGTTTAGGTGAATATTGTATGCCACTTAAAGGTACAAATCTGTCGGAACAATCGAAGTTGCTTTCGAATAGCGAAATAGTCCGTTTAGTTTCATTATTTGCTAAACACGGAGTGGATAAAATTCGAATCACTGGTGGAGAACCTACAGTAAAAAAGGATATTATTCAAATAGTTGGTAAGCTCACAAGGTCGAAATAAAAGATTTAAATTAAGAGGACGCTACACCCACATGTGTTATTTTCGTATTACATATTTACGACATAGCAAATTGTCGTTCATCAGAATCCATTTTATGTTATTAGCTTAATATTAGAGTAAATTTACCTATTATCAAACTTAAAGGTAGTTATAATTTTAAAGTGAGTTATAAGAATTTTAAAATGTAATATTTTACACGACTATAATACTTTGCAGTTTAAAATTAAAATATAAATTTAAGTCTATGAGTAAGGCTAGATAAATGCATACCTTTAAATAGGTAATAGGATAATAGGTAATTTTACTCTAATATTAAAGCTAATAACATAAAAAGGATTCTGCTGAATGAAAATTTGCTATGTTGTATATAAGACGGAGATAATAACACATGCGAGTGTGGCGTTCTGTTAATGATAATCAATATTTTGAGGTTTTTCTGTAGAAATTTCAAAAATAAAAATAACTCTCTTAATAAAAGTAAACATACAGGAACTCAGTAGAACTAATATATTCAAGATCACTAGTACATTTATTAATAATATATTGAAATAATTCCAGTCTGAAGTTATCACTGAATATATACTATAACACTATGTACAATGTACATATTTTATACAATATATACCTCTCAAAATAGTAACTGTTAAAAAAAAACTGAGCATATATTTTAGTAAACTAAGTGGCTTATAGTTTATTAGTATATGGTCTTTTAATAAGTATTTTAAGTAGTGGGCGAATTAAGTTCCCGCACAAAAAAAAAAAAAAAATCACACGTTTATTACATTCCTCCCATTTTATTCAAACTTGAGAATTGGGACTAACAATTAAAAAAAAAATTAGAGCTGTTAAAAATTATTTGTTTTTGTATTTTTAATATTTTATTCGGTAAAAAGCAAAATATTAATGAAATATAAATACTCGTACTATTTTTAAATTCATGAATTGTCAATATCAAGTTGTTTTTTATTGCAATAATTAAAAGTGCTACCATACATACTACATATTTCCGATCGTTTCAATAATTCTGTATAATAGTATCACACGAAAATAAAACAATCTCATTTACATAGTAATTTTCAAAAATAAAATATTAATTTCTATTAGTTTTTACATAAATTGAATACGAACTATTATAAACTTATTTAATTATACTATAACTTATTTGAATTATATTTTTTTTCTTGTATAAACTTACATATGTATCCGTTTAATTGCTACTATTCATGTAGCAAACATTAGGTAGGATAATTAAATTCCATATTTTGTATTAGAATCACTCAGAGATATCAAAAAACTTAAAACAATTGCAATGACTACAAACGGTTTAACTCTAACAAAACATTTGGTGGATCTTCAGCGAGCTGGATTAAACGCGCTAAACGTTAGTTTAGACACGTTGCAACAAAAAACATACGGTAACATCACTAGAAGAGACGGTCGGTTATTGAAAAAAGTATTAGCAGGCATCGATTTGGCATTGCAATTAGGATTCAATCCAGTTAAGGTACGTATATATATATTATACATATAGTGTTTAGTTTTATCGTTTTTCCTTAATTTCTAAGCCCCTTTTAACCATACACCATGCAACAAATTACAAACACATATAGAAATTTTATTTTAATATGAAAATAAAAATATTGATTAAGTTTTTAGATAGTATTAAATTATATTATAGAATAAGTACATACATATTATAAAAGAAAAGATTTTAATGAATTAAACATTTAAATTAAATACAATTTTTTTTTTTAATGTTGACGCAGAAATTTCTGGTTTTTTTATTTTTATCAAAAACTGCTTTTTCTTTTTTTTTAGTTCAGTTTACAGGTTTTGAAAAATTTGGCGTTATTCCATTTTTTTTCGTTATTTCATATTTATTGTGACTTGAGAATAGTTTGAGACAGCTATTTCGTAAATTTAGTAAGTGTTTCTTCAAATCTGATTAAATTAGATTAATAATTTATAAAGTATGTTTATCAATTTAAAATATTATGTCTGAATTAAAATTAAGTTTTTTAACTAAGAGGATTTTCCAAACTACCTTGGCACTTAAACTGCGAGTATAAAGACCTCCTCTGTATGGGGGGCCCAGTCTATTTGTATATATAACAAAGCTTTTGCACATTCGTTTAATCATGGCGCATTTAAATTTGTGAAAGAATAATCAACACATTGTTTTTTTGAGGTCGTTGACACGTGTTTTAAATACATGACCTTCGATAAGTAATTGAATTTATGGTTGTTTTGTACATGTCTAATGTTATCCACCGCACTGTCTAACAAGATGCCAAAATATACTGTGTCGAATCTTAAAACACTTAAACCAGTCAATTAATGTCTTCAATTCCTTGTTTGTTAGTTCTTCAGAAATTTTATGTGATTATTATAGCTTAAATTATCAACCCAGAAATAAGTAAATTGATGACTTTTATATAATATATAATCTAACCATATGTAAATATTGACCACAGTTTTCTCATTGTCGTTGTTTGATTTTTCTTTTTTCTTTTTTTTTTTTCATAATTTTATCTCATGAAATAATAAATTTTCGTTTTAACTTTACGCATACTATTTATTGTTTCGATGTAGAGCTGGAACATAAAAAGTTGCCAACCATCAGGTATTCTTTTAATTCATTAATCTGTTTAAGTACATGTTATAGTTCTACATTAATTGTCCACGCTCAAAGACTTCACAAACATATTTCACTGACAGTATATCTTTTCTACTAGCTTAAATTATCTAGTTTTGTTTTAGATTCTAAGCATAATGATGAATGTATTGTTTTTTTTTTTTTTTTATAAAAATACTTTTTGTAATAAAAAAAAAAATACTTCTATTTTCAACGTTAGGGCTGGTTTCTTGTAGAAAATTAAGTTTAGTTGGTATACGGAGGAAAAGGATCAAAAATAAATGTTTACTTTATCAGTACATATAAAAATAAATTAATTAAGAACGGAAATTTTTCTCCAGATAGTCTAAACCTAAACCAGTGTTTGAAAAAATCGATTTTAGTGCAACTAAAAATTAATAACCTTAGATAATTAAAATTTTCTCCAAAATATTTATATTATCATTTTATATAGATACATTTAAAAAATATTTTGGTTCTTTTTAGGTATTTACTACCTATTTATACTTAATAGACATTTGAAATTTTCGCTTTTTAACTATTTTCAGTTTTTTTCTATTAATGTTAAAAAACATTTTTCGCTTGGTCAAAAACATTGAAAGCTTAGTACAATGTTCTGTAAAAAGTTATTATTAAAGCTATTTAAAAATAATAAAGATATTTATATAACATTTTTATATGTGCATTTTAAGTTCAAATTCTGACAAAATTCATTCAAATCATGAAAATTTGAAAAATTATTTTGTAATTATATATTTATTGTTAAGGATTAAATTTTAATATAGTATTTTACATAAGTAATTCTTACTGTAACCAAAGAATCTAAAAATATACAAACACAGTACTTATTTTCTTATATTCAATTTAAGTTTAAATTTGGATAAAATTAAATATTTATTAATAAAAATAATAATTTTAGTTATTTTATCATAATCTTAAAATATTATTAATTATTACATGAAACTCTCATTATATATTACTATATTTTATACATTTAATTACATTTTCTAATGCAGTGTTTTAAACAAGAACTAATTCAACTTATTGTATTAGTAACAACTAACAATATATATACATCAAAAAATATATTTAGTTGGTACCTACTACCTAATTTAGAATTATTTTGATTTATATAACAATGATTTTTTATTGAATTCAAATCTAACATTACAGTGAATTACTCCTCTTTGACGATCTATACAGTTGACGCCTTGTGTGCAGCAGTTCGTTTACCTATTTCCCCTCTTATTTTATAAATGCTTTCGCTATTAATACTATTAATACTTGAATTAAATATTTTCATTTTCATTTCGACGGAGAACAGGTTTCATTTCATTCATGGAATGTTTCGTTTGAAAAAACACCTGAGGCTTGTTACTTGTTTGTACATTATAGTTACTATCTTAATCATGGTTCTTATTAAACAGGTTTTATTGTAAAATAAATACATAATGATTATTAAAAATTATTCCGCTAATAACATCAAGAATGATTGATGAAATACAATATATTTATAAAACATAACATGTATGTAGTATGTACTTATACATTATTAAAAGAAAGAAGGCTAAAAAAATTGTAGTCTGAAATTTAAAAAATAAATAAATTATTTTATAATATTATACATTAAATCATATACATATACATATAATATAATTAATTAATATAACAATGATCATTTAAAAAAAAACTTTTAATCTTATTTATTTGTATCTTAAATTATTCATAAATCAAAATTATTTTAATAATTACATTTCAAGAAATGTATAAAAACATATATAATAAAAAAGTAAAAGATTAAGCTAATTGTAAATAATTGTAATTGTAAGTATTTATATATATGATTAGAGAACAGATTTATACGTAATGCATATATTTTTAAAATATGGTATTTAAAATTCAATAAGAAATGTTCATGATTTAAATCTTTTTTATTAAAATGATGCTACTTTTATTTTACATATTTTAGTACAATTTCATATTTTGGTATAATTATATATTTTTACGTATTTCACTAATTTGTAAATATTTTTAAACATATTTTATCATTTCATCATTCCTACGTTTTCAATCCATGTTGCAGTAAACAAAACCAGCTACTTATCGGCATATTGTCGTTTACTGTCGAAAAAAAATATTTTGATGTTTCTAGCACATATTTTATAAATTATACTTCCATATTTATGTAAATATTTCTGTATTTTTATTACATATAAATTCGTTCCCTAATAAATAATAATTATCAATATTTCAGTTAAAAATAAAATATGTAAAAATCGAAAATATTATAATTTTGTTGTTCTGAATATTCGATAGCTAATGTATATCATATTAAAAATAAATTGTTAGCAAAAACTCCTAACCTTTAAATTTCATATATTCTTTTAAAATTTAAAGATGTTATGCGTAGCGTCAACAAATAAATATCTTGTACGATTCTAGTTTTTGGATAATAATTATTCAGCTCGATTTAATTTTTTTTTTTTTTTTTTTGTTATTGTAGGTGAATTGTGTATTGATGAGAGGAATAAACTTCGACGAGTTACGTGATTTCGTTGAAATGACTAGAGACCGGACAATCAGTTATCGGTTTATCGAATTTATGCCGTTTTCAATGAATGAATGGGACGAAAAGCGAATGGTGCCTTATAAAGAAGCAATCCAAGAGATAATGAAGTCGTATCCTAATTTCGAACCTTGCGATAATGAGCTAAACTCAACTTCAAAGGTAAACTAAATTTAATATAACAGAATCATAAAACCAAGTAGGTATAACAACGGTAAGTTGGATAAATATTTGTCGAAAAAATTGCATTTGAATGGTAATTGTGTGTATAAAATATAATAGGTAATAGTAAAATATGTTAAAAGCTTCAAGTATCCCCGAAGAATATTATTAAATTATAACAAAATAACTAAAACCGTTATTTTCGTTTAAATATCGAATTTTGTCAAAATTTAAACTTAATGAATATTTATAAAAATCTATAATTATTTATTTTTAGATTATTTGGTTACATAATGAACTACTTATGAGAAATCTTGTTATAATTTTTCAATCCTTAGCTATAAAAATTAAATATTTTATAAATTTATTTTTAATAACAAAATAGTTTTCAAATTTCCGTTATTTTAACGAATTTTTTCAAAATTTGAACAAATGCTTATACAAAAATTCATCTATGTATCTAATATATAATTTTTTTTTTAATATCAATAATAACAGCTCATAAGGAACATTGTATTAAATTTTTAAGCTTTTTGACTGGTCAATAATTTTAAATGGATTTTTAATTGAAAAAAAAGACCAAAAAAATTTCAATCTTCTATAAATTGCTTGAAAAGTTTCAAAATATTTTCATGAAATAATACTATGTACAAAAATGTCATTTTAAACATTAAATTAAATTTTTATTTTACTTGCAATTCCTCAACAACCAATTATGGACACTGATACTACCACGAGTCAGCATGTAAAGTCACTTTGAAATATTATTTCAATAATGTATATAAAATATTTAAAATTTTAATTTTTCTCGTGATTTTATGAAAATTGCCTACATTAAACCTCTTAAAAATCGGGTTAGTGGCGTCCAATATAAATTAGTAATTGCATTCTATTATAATATCATATATATATATTATATGCAATGAGCATATTTTGTCTATAATTAAATTAATAATGTTTTTGTATAAAAAACTACGCTATGTCTATGTAACACAGATGTATCGGGTGCCAGGATTTGCAGGCAACATTGGCTTCATATCTTCCATGACCGAAGATTATTGCGACAGCTGTAACAGACTCAGATTAATGGCTGACGGAAATCTGAAAGTATGCTTGTTTCAAAATAATGAAATCAGTTTAAGGTAAATATTAAACATGAATCACTTTACCTAATATCCAGTGATGATAAAGCTTAGAATAACATTAACACAATATCCAGTAAACACTTGTTCAAAATTAGTTTTTAATATATAAACATATTTAACAAAAAAATAAAATAATTTGTAATAAGTATCTATCATATATCAAACAATCTGTACAAATAAAATACCTATGTATAAATAAGAACAATTTTTTATTCGAAAAAAAAATGTATTTTTACGTCATATGAAAATATTTAAATACCACAACAATATTGAATTATTTGAAAATAATATTCTCATTTATTAATATATTTAAATAGGTATTTTAAATAATATTTTTCTCATAAATATGGTAAATAGATAAACTAGCCTATACTTAAAAAAAATTAAAAATCATATTCTAATTAACAAATACATCATAATTTAAACATGAAAATATTATACTATCTACCTAAAAAATGACCTAGTAAATTGTAAAGGTAATTATAGTATGTTCCTAGAGTTTTATACACTGTAACTACTTATTTCTGTAGACTGCGGTTAATAAATATATTATTTAAATATTAAATTTTTAGGCTGTAATCTATAAGAAATTTATTAAATATTAGATTTAATTTATTAAAATTCTTTTAGAATCTTGTTGAAAAACTACATGTTACATCTAACAAATATTATTTAAATGCTGATAAAGAAAGCATAACACTATTTAAATTGTTTGAATTGTATATTGGTTTAGAGATCCGCTTCGGAAAGGAGCTTCAGATGAAGAATTACTGGACATCATATCGAATGCTGTGAATGATAAAAAGCGGAAACATGCTGGTAATACTATATTTTTTAATTTAATTAAGTAACTAATATAGGTACTAATAGGTAGTTTGATTTCTAAGGAAATCTCCAAATTCGTTACTAATCAGCGTGCTGATTATAAAATGTTTAATCTCACTTAGACGAATTATTTTTAACATAGTATAAAATTTAAAAAAATTAATTTTGTAATATAATGATGTTCATTATACCTATACAATTTATTGTTATATTATGGTTATCAAAATGATTGTTGATTTGTAAGTAAATTATTTTTCAAACTAGTATAACGAATATATTATAATATATACCTATGAATATTCTTTTAAATGTCTCAAGATGCATTTGTATAGATTTCAAAAATATCAATGCTATAATGTTCACCAACGATAAATATTAGAAATCATATATTGTATCATTTGTATCCATCATGCATGATTATTAATTGCGTTCAATTTTATAGAGGTTGCATTTTTTTTTACACACAATACATAGTATGATGTAAGTTATATATATTATGAATACATATCAATTTATAGAAATAATGAGACGTTTGTAGTTTGCGTCTAAAATGAATAAATAAAAATTTTGACTTACTTACCTAAGAGTCAAAAATCAATCAAGTATTATAGTAATCAGGTTAATACTTATAAACAATAGTTTAAAGATTCTAGCTTGATATACGAACACACCTGATTTGCTGTTTAGTGTTGTTGAGATATACTAAATTTTTATAGATTTTTTTAGTCGTTCGTAACATGCTTTGCCCATTTAAAACACGTTGATACATTTAGTAAATAATTTTGAAAAAATTTGTATTTCGGATTTAATAAAGTTCTTGTTAATAATAATTTAGTAAGTAATATTCTTAATATCTATTGAACTTTTCTAACAAAACAAAAAATTAAAAATACTGATTATTAACTACCTATTTGCTTATTTACTCACTCTTTTATACCTTTATTGATGAATATTAATGTATTACCTATATTAAAATCAAAACGAATAAATTATCAGTATTCGTATTTAAGGATGATGTCCTTAAAATTTTGAATTCAATTTTACTTTAATACAAAATTATTTTATGACAAAATAGAAATAATAAAGATCAAATGATTTAATCGTTAAATTATAACATCATAGTATTATGTCATTTTAAGAACCAAATAGATATAAATTACAATATAAAATCTTTGTTATATTATTATTTTTTAAACTTGCTTTGCTATTATATTTCAAAATTATATCAAGATTTTCAACGTATTATTACATTTAATCTAAAAAATGTATAAGGCCTTGTAGAATTTCGCATAGAGTCTCACAGTCCATCGATGTCACACTAGCGCGTGTACATCAAAGAGGATTATTGTTGAACAGTAGTCAATATTTTTTGTTGATGTTGTCATGTTGACATCTGGCCAATATCGTTTAATACCGATTCAGCACTTAATTCTGTTTCATATTTTATCAGTAGCATTCTTCATTATACAAATGAAAAATATGTAGGCATTTTTGCTACTGTTGCAATATATAAATTCTAACAAAAAACTCGGAAAATGTCACACTATAGTTTATAAATGTACTTAATCGTGAAAACACTAAAATCTAATTTTTAAGGCTGTAAATATGAAGAAAAAATACCTGATATATTTAATCACAAAATGAAAATAAGTTTTTTTTACAAAATTATTACTTAGATATTTGTTTTATATCCACTAATTATGGTTTATTTTTAAAACTTTTATATTAGCTATATGGGTATATAATATTAAATATAAATAGGTGTATTCTTGAATAACAACTCCGCCCGCCGCCTTGCGAATAAATCTAATCCAATATATAAAATTTTCTAAAAAGTTTTCTTTTTTTGACCAAAAATAATTAATAATGCGCAACCAAGGATACTACTTTGGTAAGTTTCCGCAAATATACACACAAAAATCATTTACATCACTAGCAGAATATTATCCTTCGTGGAAGAACGTGCGTAAAAAAACAGAACGAAGATTCATTATAATGAATTACTATACTAAATTCAATGATGCTTTATTTTCATTAATTAACAAGCTGACCCGGCAAACGTTGTTTTCAGCTATTATATTATATAAATAAATATTGATTGAATATAACGATGTTTTAGGAATGAAAAATCTTCCTCATATGCCAAATCGTCCAATGATTTTGATCGGCGGATGAGTAAGTCCGACAACACATACATCACATAATATATTGCCTACATTGTAAGACAAATATTTAAAGTCTAGAACCTTCATAGTTCATATTCATATCGCGGTGAGACTTGATCAAAGTCTAGAAGTGAACTCATCTCCTTGTAAACAGGAAGGGGAAATATAGAATTATTTATTAAGTACATCATTTTACTTTAAGTTTACATTTAAATTTTTTTTAAATTTTTTATATAGTAGTAGTTAATAATTATTATTATATTATCCACTATTATGATTTAATAAGACTTACGTATATTAAACTATTTAGACTGTTATGTTCGAAAATAAATATTCTTTTATGTTGATTCCGATGAATAAATATTTTTTTTTATTAAAAAATAAATTGTTGGATGTTGATTTTATAATTATGGCAAGTATTGGTCTCAACAGATTTAATTCGGAAAGTCATGATATATTATATTATTATACAGCCCAACTAAATAGGAAAATATAACAAATAAGACATAATAGTAAAATATTAAAATGTCACTACAGACACATATCCAAGAACTTTTAATGCGTGGGAAAGATTCAGCAAATTTAAACTTATTTACTAGTGGAAAACCACTCTTTACTTCGTGCATAGAATATTTATTCTTATTGTAAAAATATATCATATTTATTATGCTGAAACAGTATTAAACAAATCAATTTAAAAAGAGCATTTATAACTAAAAAAATATTATTTTATTAACAGTTCTTTTAGTTAAATACTAAGTACTAAATATTAAATATAAATCATTAAAATAATAATAAAAAAAAAAATAACAAAAAAATGTTAAAAATATTCAAATTGCCAAAATTAAAATAGTTATTACTTTGATTACATTAATACTAAAGGAGAAATAGACGGTAATAATTGTAAATATTTTTGTACTAAATATGTTTTATCATTTTGAAAAGTATCAGGAATTATATTATGCAAATGTTATTATTTGCACTGTTTTATATGATATATTGTTATCTAATCATAATACTCTATAGTTCTATACTATTATTAGTATATTATACCATATAAGAATACAGTACACAGTCAATTAGGTACATAAATATTGGATACTTAAACATTTTCTGTCCAATTACTAATACTAAAAATTTAATTTTAAAACATTTTACCATGATGAATCAAGTATAACAATGTCTCACTAACGAATAACTTATAACAATAATATGCTCACCTTAAATGAGCAGCTAGCATAATAGGTAACTAAAAAAAAAATTTTTATATAGACAATGGTATTACCTTTATTGGGACCAAATGATCAATTAGGCAAACCCATTTGAAATCGTCATAGTGTGATGCGATTATAATGAGGTCGTAAGAAACCCAAATATGTTCCGATTTCTGACATAAAAATTATCAAAGTCATATTGGATAATATAATAATGTGAGTGTGCATAATGCATGAGTGTGTGTGCATTTTGTGTGTGTATAATACATTTATAGTTTATAAAAACTGATTATGTTTCTCAAGTCAAAATTATAATAATATAAACATGTTAAAGAAAAACCTGTGTTTTATATTATAAAAGTTTATTTACTATCTCAGTTCCATGGGAGAGGGAGGGGGTAATTACGACAAAATAAAAGAATTTATCCCCCATTATCTTTTTTCTTTAATATTTATAATATTTTCATATTATATTATTGATATTTTTATAAAGAAAATAACATGAACAGTTTAATTTTGTACATAATCTGATAGAAAATATTTTTTCAAATTATAAAACCAATACACACTAGTGGAGGTAAATACCGCAGTACTTACAGGCACTTATAAAATGTGCTATAATTTAAAATCAAAAACATTTATCGTGAAATAAAACATTTCAGATCTCTTTTCATTTCTTAAATTAATAAATTTAAATATGAAAATGTTAAAACTTTAATATTTGTAAGCTTTGTACCGTGTGACTCTGTGTATTTATAGTCACTACTTATGTTATGCTAGAGATGTCTAGCATGGCCATAATGGCTGTTTGATGTTCATCGTGAGGCTGTAAATATAAGTCCGATTTAAGTATTACAGAAAAAACTAATTTACTACTTTAAGAATAATTATTGTGATCTATTTATTAATATTTTTATTCGATAAATCTATCGATGACACTTAAATGTATTTTTAATGATCAAAAGTCCACGTCAAGAAACTAATATTTAAACGCACACTGTTGTTTTGCCTCATGATTAATAGGTATTCGTTTCCACAGTTTCTGAACGATTTCCGTGAACATTCACACGCCGTCCATTGAAATTCCCGTCACGCGTTCCCGGGAATCGCCCGTTCTTACGTTTACATAAAAAAAAAAAAAAAAAATAATAAATAAATAGATTTTTAATGTGCATTTATAGGCGGTGGGATTTTTAGTCAGAATATTGAGGCTAATTTGATTTTTTTTTTCAACTCAACTCTGAACTTGGCACCGTTGCGCCTAAATAGAGACATTACAAAATGCATGTCGTCGAAAAATGTTTTTCCTGTTTTATTCCTTTCGTGTTACAGTAGCTGATCGGAGCACGTCGGTGGTGAGCGCGAACCGCGGCGGCCGTCTCGCCAGAAACGTTCGTACGGCGTCCAGCGGCGGCCGTATTCTCGCCCGAAACATTTGTACGGCTTCCGGTGACGGCGACGGCGGCGGTGACGATCGACCGCGCCTGACGCACGTGGACGGACGATCGGGAGACGCGCGCATGGTGGACGTTTCGGGAAAACGCGAAACTCGGCGGACGGCCACGGCGGTGGCTCGCGTCCGGTTGGACGCGACGGCCACGCGGCTGGTTGCCGAGGACGCGTGCAAGAAGGGCGACGTGCTGTCCGTGTCCAGGCTGGCGGGCATGTGCGCGGCCAAGGCCACGTGGCAGCTGATACCGTTGTGTCACCAGATCAGGCTGGACTCCGTGGCGGTGGACTGCCGGCTGGACGAGCGCCGCGGCCGCGTCCACATAACGGCCACGGCCGTCAGCACCGACCGCACGGGCGTCGAAATGGAGTGCCTGACGGCGTGCGCGGTGGCCGCGCTCACCGTCTACGACATGTGCAAAGCCGTCAGCCGGGACACGGTTATCGAGCACGTCAAACTGTTGTCCAAGACGGGCGGCAAAACCGATTACCGAGCAAAGGACGACGACGTCGACGGTTAGCCAACATTATGTATAATTTTATGTCGGGGCAAAACGATCGTTTTAGACGTTTTTCGGCGAGTAAGATATTGCTTTCAAAACTCACTTGTCCGTACCTACTTACATATTCGCTAAATCATATTATTATTGTTTATCAGTATCATATTGTGTAGTACCTACCTATCACAACATCTAATCAGATGTTGACTGATGTTGTCCGATCTTCTTTATACTTGTAATAATTTTTTTTATACAAATGTTTAATAATTTAATAGTATTTGACTAGACGATTTGAAAAAAAAAAAATAAAAATATATGAAATAGATTTTCAAAATCTAATATACCCAATACAAATTATAACTAACAACTGCGCATATCTACGTAAAACGCTTACTTATTAACATCAGACATGCATAACATATTATGTGTATACGTAGTAGATACGTTCTAAACACATCAACACGAACCACTGTTAAACTAACCGTTAAATGTTGATAGGTATCGATTTAAAGTCATCGTTTTACTCGTTTAAAGAAACAAAAATATTGCTGTTTCATTTTGAGGTAATAGGTACCTACCTATACACGTGAATATTGCTTGTATGTTAAGTTGCGTTATAGAACGAATGTGAAAAATAATTGATAAAAATGATCGAATGTTAACGCTTAAATATTTTGTCGCAAGTGTTGAAGTGTACCTACACCGTACGTTACACTCTGCAATTTTTTTTGCACATACCTAAATATCCCCCTACGAGCACTTGTTGTACTGTTGTGAAATATTTAAATGAAAGAATTCAAATAGTTTTATAATACTTTCAGCATAAAGTATTTTAAAAACTTTTTTTTCGAAAATTTAGACGTATATATCTATAAATTTTTCCTAAACTAATACCTAATAATTTTATTTAATGTGGGCAAAGAGATCATGACCAAAAATCCAACATAACGAAAGATATGACATTGAAAAACGTTGCTTGTGACCTAACCGAACAGATTTTTAAAATATTTATAAGGGTTGTTTTCACTAAATACAAAATACAGTTATAAAATAATATCTAATCATATAACTATTTTATTTACCGAGCAATATAATACCAATAAAAACCCTGCTAAAATCAGTTCATTAATTTCAAAGCCTTTTCCAGATAAATAGTCGCAAACACGTGTCTCATGTAATATTATATTTCACTCATTTCGGTTATCGTTTATAAATCATAACTAACTAATTACAATTTGAACACTTTCCATCTGTGATACGCTACATAAATAAAATAAAATAAATTAGATTGTTTTATTACAGTTGCAAAAAAATCAATTTTCTAAAGCTGTGCAGTAAGTATATAGGTAACGATTTTATTTACTGTAGGTACTTAACCAGTATAAGATTCCCGTTTTCCAAAACAAAATTTCTCTGTGAACCCATCTTTGAAATGGGATATTTTTAAATCCCTTCTCATTAAACGTTTAGAGCGTCAGAGAAAACACTATTTCAAATTTCAAATGCTACGTTTTATCGTTATCGAGAAATAACGATGAGTGAGAGGTATTTAAATTGTATATATTGTACAAGAATAACGAAATACTTATTAATGCGCCGTTTAATTACAACACATCATATGTATACATAATATTATATATTAAGTTTATTCGCATACAGTTATTACATAATATGTATATGGTATTATAATATATAAATATAGAATATTATATCACTTGGGTCTATAATTATTATAATGGATTTGTTTAGCATTAAATAATCTACAAAATGAATAAATTACATCATAAATGTTGTTTTGAAATGGTAACTATGAGTTGTACATGTTTTACATTTATATGTATTATTATCGAATAGCCCAATATACAATATAATATAATATTTAACTTAAAAATTATAATACTTAATTATAGTTTGCTTCCATATAAATAAAATATATGATAGCATAGTGTTACATATTGTAAACTATAGTAATAAGAAATAATTAATAATTAGTCTTAGCATTTTTATAAATAATAACACAATAATTAATTAAAATAATATTTCATAGTGCGGAAATTAAATGAGAGTAATAATAAAATGCAAAAAAATAATTTCAGTAATAATACTATAGTTTATTTTTCTTATTAATATATCTAAATGTATAATTAACTATGCCAAATAACCATAAACAAACAAAACAAAAAAAAAAAAAAAAAACAAAAAAACAAAAACAAAAATCAAAAAATCAGCAATATAATTTTAACATTTTCAAAGAAAATTAAAATATTAAAGCTTGTATGATTATTTTAAACAATTTGTTAAGTTGACTATAGGTAACATAGATTATAATAAAACTCAAGTGTTTGATTTATGATTATGAAAACATTTGATTTAAATTTTTTGTTAACATCTTGACATCTTGTTCATGATAAATCAATGAACATAAATATCCAAACTTTTTTTTTGGGTAAATACAAAAATTGCTTTTTTTTCAATTTAACTTTTGAAAATAAAAAATGATGTTAACTAAAATAATACAAATTATATGTTTAATTTAATAACGGCGCATAGACAATATTAATCTTAAATCTTTAATTCAATTAAATCAACATAGAAAAGAATTGATATTTGAAGCCATTTTAGAATAGCATATTAAAAAATCATTATCGTGAATTTGCTCTGGCTTTTAAAATATCATAGAAAACATGAGCTTCAAGTTTAATTAAATTTTTATCAAATCATGTTGGTAATTATTATATACATAGTCATTATTTGATTGAATTCATCTAGGTATCTAAATTGTACAATATTCAAGAAGTTTTTTAATGACAATAACTTTTATTGAGTTTTTAAGGTTTTACACGTTGAGCAATGGTCTAAATATGAAAGAGATTTTTGTGAATTTTCATTTATTTTCAATATTAATTTGGATGTTTAATAATTTTTAATTTTATTTTTAATAGTATAATAAAATCATAAATCAAAATAAATATCATTGGTTTAGACTTTTAGGAGTATGAATCTTAAAAAATTTTAAAAAAGTGACAAGCTTTTCCATTGAAAAAGGAAAAAAATTTGATATATTTACTTCATTAAATTAAAATATTTATTTTTTTTAATTTATTGGATTAAAATTATTAAGTTCTAATAATTAAAGTATAAAAAATATTGATAAGCAAAATTATTAAAAATTAATTTCTCAAAATTATAGATAAATGAGTATTTGTTAGTTATCTAAATAAAAAATTTGAACTGTTCAATCATTATTTGGTAAGAATTGTTTTAATTATTCTATTGTTCTTTTATTTAAAATCAGCTTTATTTAATTGATTTAAGTTTGTTACTAAAAAAAAGATAATGACTTCTTTTATATTGAAGTAATTTTATTAATTAACATTTTTTGATCCATTTTCTTTGCATATTTACTACATTTTTAATGCATATAATTCTGGTTTTTAATGATATTATTTTGTGTTTTTAAGTTCTTAAAGATAATCCAAATTAAGTTAATACATTTTTTAAAAGAATCAGATTTTCATAAATATAAATAATTTTAACTGAATTGCTATAGGTATTAACACTTTCAAGAAACAAACCATAATTATACATTGTAAAAAAAAAAAATAATTAATAATTAATAATTAAATTTTTTTATGTATTTAATTTAAATAATTAATACAAGCTATAATTGACACATTTGCTGACTTGAAATACTAAATTAAATTGACAAATTTTAATTAACTTTTAAATAATTATTTTATATTAATTTAGCAGTAAATCAAACTAAAACAATAATACAAAAAATAAATAAATAAATGAATAAATAAATAATTATGAAATAATGTGAAATGAATGTTTGATACCAAATTATAAACAAACTAATTTTCAATTAAAAAAATAAATAAATAAATAATACATTTTATAATATTACTTTTTTTTTAGTTATAAGTATTATCAATCATTTTATCTATGTTAAATAATGATTTACATAAGTATGCCATTAAATCTACAGGTAGTTAATACTAGATAAAAACAATCGCAAGCAACTCTACATCACCTTGAGTTATTACAGATAGAAGTTCTATTATGTAAACACTGAATATAGCAGAATATTGAATCAGTAATTTGATCACTTATGAAATATTATAAAAAATTGATTACTACTTATTATTTAAATGACTGTACTTAGTCTTAACTAAAATGAATAGTAATATTTAAAAGCAAGATGATTATTCACATATTTTAAAATAACTGTTGAGCATAGGAGGACATTTGGTTGAATTTTTGAGGCAAGTAAAGTGGCCAATACTTTGATTAAAATTTACATGGTCCACAGATGTATATATTATAATTCCATTTAAAAAGTGAGGTTATTGAAATTTTTGAAGCGATAAGACTCTTTGAAAGAAGGTGGACTCAATATTATGTTCCCTATGCTATTCAGAAAATTATAAGTCGTTTAAGTGAGTATATCCCCACAATATGTATAATGCTTGAATTACATTAAATTTTTGTTCACGTTTTATAAAACAAGTTATTATCTTAGGAATCACATAATACAATAATTAAACATGAGTTTATATTTTTTACATTTTAGATATGACTAAAATTATAATTAGTGTTTTGCGCGAGAAATACTTAAAACAATATTTTACTCTATAATATACATCTTAAAAATATTGTGAGCAGTACAAAAATATATCAATATTAATTTATATTTCAGTGGTTAAGTTTATTTATTTATTTCATTTTATTAAATTAATAGTAAGTATTAGTATATTTTATAAAATTATAATTTATTATAATTCAAAACAAATATTTTGGTAACTGAACAAAACAAAATAAACTGAAGATTTTTTTTTAATGCATTCTAATTTTTAAAGATACAAAAGAATAAAATTGATATTATAATACGTGATGGTCATTATTATTACCTACTGTTTTTATTCAAATTCAAATTATTTTATACAGGTATCATTTAATAATAAATATTATTGAAATAGATAGTGGATTGGTATTGAAAATTAACTATTTATTTTTTTGTTTTTACTTAAAATAATATTGAAAAAAATTTTATTTTATAAATAGATATTAATATTTATAAATATTTCTAATATTACAATTATTCTTAAATAATACAACCACTTTATGCTTATCAAGATATAATTCATGTGACATAATAACATTCAAATAAACTGGATAATTATTTTTAATTCATTTTAAAATACTATTTTATAAAAAAATAAATCAATTATTTGTCAAAAACTAAAACCTCATGCCATTATCTAATAAAAATATTTATTCTAATTATAAATCATACTATATTTTTTTAGTATAGAATAAGTTTATCAATTAGGAAAATGTTTTTAAAGCCATATTTAAATAAATGATATTAAGTTTAGGAACATATGTATTTAAACAATAATTAACTGCTGAAAATGTCTTTGGTATATATTGAAATATTTAACCTAGTTTAAAACTATAAATTTCAATTAACTAAAGGGAAAACGATTATTAGCACTATTATATTTTTGAAATATTGTTTTATTTATGTAGATAAATTTTAAAGTAAAAAGGCTTTGAAAAATAAGTTTATTTTTGGCAAATAGGTACTTAAGTAAAAACTTCCTCTCTTGCTTAGTTAGAATAAGACTTAAAAACTGTTGTCTTCACTTAAATATATTAATTTTAATTTATTCTTTAAATATTTGTAATATATTTTTAACAATTAACATATATATATATAAATAATTAAACTGTATCAACCTACAAGAATAGTGTTCATAAGCTATTGATATTAATCTACAATGATAACAATGATTAAGTAATAAGTTGTCTGACTAAAATTAAATATTTATATACATACATACATTAGATAACACTAAATCAAATAAATTTGGAACAGTAAACTAATGCTTTGTGAGCTTTATTCAAAACTATCGGCTATCATGTACTTATTTAATTTTATATTTTATTTTTTTAATACTGAAATAAAAAAATCACAAAAAATTGCTGGATTAATATTATACATTTTTTAGCATTATTCCCTATCATTTCTATTTAAAAAAAAGTATTAAAAATTATTTTAAATGTATAAACTATTATTGTTAATTTTTATCATTAAATATACTAATATAGTATGCACTAATGGTAATATTATTTTTAAAATACATGTTTTGCAATGAATTTTAATCTTTCAAAATTAAATCGATCATTTTTCATCAATAGAATAAAACTTTTATTTTTTATTTATTTCATTTAAAAAAAAATTCTATACATTTATTTATAAATAAATCAAAACAATAGTTTAGTCAAACAAGCATGGAATTTTCAAGTAATTAGGTTTTTAAATAAATTAAACAACTATAAAGCATCTAAATTAAATACCTTATTTTGATATTAAGGAATGTATCACTCAATATTATCACAGCAATGAAATTTTATCATCATGATTGTTCGTTAAGTTGTGTTCGTAGTTCTGGAAACATTTCTGCTAGTAAAACATCTAAAAGTCTATAGAATAATTGTTTATTCATCACTGAATTTTGTGTACAATGAAACAAACACATAAGCAGTGGAGAAAAAACTGAATTATTCAATAAATTTAAATGTTCAACTGAAATTTGATGATCAGTCTTTTGTGGTGCATCATCTCCAGGAAATAGAAGATCTATAAAAATAAAAATAATATTGAATTTATAAATGTTAATACATTAAAAAAATGTCTTCATACTTTCTAGCAGTTCAATTAAGTTTGATATTTTAGAAGGTGTAATTGATTTTACAATACGAAGACTGATGTAGCGTTGTATAATAGAATCAACAATATTACCACACATAGATTGTATGGCCAAAATTAATTGAACAACAGAATTTGACATATTGTATACATGTACTCCAAAAAAAATAATGCAGTTAATTGGACCACAGGGAAATTTTATTTGATTTGATATTTCTTCTAAAGGTGTTTGGTTTTCATCTTCAATTATATTTAAGTTATTACCAAAAATTGGATTTTCAGCGATTTTAAATTTTTTTTCGAGAAGATTTTCACTTAAATCTTTCCACTCATACCTGTAATTCAAAGCAGATGTATTATGAAATGTTAAATTTAGATTCATTAAAACAATTATATATACTATATCAGAATTAAAAATTAATTTATTATTAATTATAAAATATATTTTATTTATACCTTTGTTTTAATTTTGTTTCAACTGAAGCCATAAATACAGAAATGAATGATTCTAAATTTTGTCCACGTTCTTTTCTTAAAGCCATTGGCATAGATTTCCTCAACAATCTCCCAATGGCTGATTCAGAATCTTCAAAATTGTCCATGGATGTTAAAAACATATGCAATAAATCAGATCCCTTAAGTTCAGGTTTTTGTAGCAGTTGATTGAGAAACTGCACATAAATATCATTATTTTCTGTTTTTTGTAATAAAATTCTTCTTGAAGGTAATCGAGCATCCACAAATACTCCATGGAATTCAGTAAGTTTTGATTTTAAAGTATAAAAGTCAGCAAGTCTTCTTTCTACACACCATTGTTTGATTGAATCATTTTTAACTGTCTCTACTGTAATAAAAAATACCAATGATTGACCACCATTGGATCCAGATTCTAATTTCATAGCTGATGTAACATCAGTTACCTTCCAAGTGCTTAAATCTCTTTCACTATTAATGATTTCATTATCAACAGATAAATCTTCTCCATATTCTGGATCACATTCAGAAGATAAAGAATCAAATTGACCATCATGTATAGTACTTGACTTCATAGCTCCTTTAATCCTATTTAATTTGCGACTTAGCTTAGAAGCATTATTTTTTTTTTCATTATTCGACAAAGATTCTTTTGATGAACTAATATCTGGAATATTACGTGGTCCACATATCCAAGAAAAATATTCATCAGAATTATGAAACTCTACCCAGTAAGTATTTTGTAAGGTAGAATATGTTTGTTCATAAGCTTGGTATAGTGGTTTTGAATTTTGAAGTTTAATAACATCTTTGGATAAAACTTTTCTTAGTTGACTTACTAGCTCAGGATCAAAGCTTATGCAATCTGGTGAATGAGAACTAAAATATACAGAAAATATATCCCAAGCATCTCGATAGAGCATATCAAGTTCTTGAGATGAAATTTCTGGTCTTAACATGCGCTTATTAAACTGATCAACATCTAAACAGAATTGCAACAAATGCACAGCACCTTTTCGTTTCAAAAAAACTGTAAATGCAGATAAAATTGTCGGGTCTTTGAATATACTACGCATTTCAAGTTGTATGGTATCATGTTGATTTTCACCAATAAATTTTGATAAAAATTCAACTTGTTCATCTTTGCATATTGTAGTTGTTGAATTAATAACTGATGATTTGGATAATTTTGACCAAACAATATTAATGTTGGCCGGACTACATATTACATCTGATATTGGTAATAATACCCAAAGTGAAAGAAGTTCTCGCACTAAAGTATAAAATATCCTGTAAAGTAAATTTAGTCAGTAAGATATGATGAAGTTAATGTTTAAAAATAAATTATGTTTAAATAAAATATAATAATATGAATTATATTCATACATGCATTGAAGATCGGTTTGTCGTGTTAAAAATGGCAATAAACTCGAAGATACTTTTTTAAGATACAAAATCTCAACTTTGCGATTACTGACAGCATAATGATATGAAATTTTTTCACCCTTTTCCATTTGTTGGCAGTGTCTTATATGTGATAAACATATTGGAATTACTTTACACAGCACAATATCTTCTAAATTCAACTGAAATATTTAATTACAAGTAAATAATTTGTTCATTACAGTAAAATAATATTACATATCTTTATTTAAATATTAATTTAATGTTAATTTTTATAACTATTTTACTAACTTGTAATAATCTTTTAAGCAATACACTTGTTGCAAATCGTATAACTTGCTTAATTTCTTTTACAAAATGTGGGTCATTTGAAATATTTTCATACCAACTTTCTACATATACCTTTATGATTTTTGATAATAACTAAAAATAATAATAAATATAATTAAATATAAAATTATTTACTGTAAAATTAATTTACTTTATCTATTGAAGAGTCAATTTGTTCTGGTATTAATAATCCTTTCCATGGTGTTTCTTGATTTAGACATTTTAAATGTAGGTCACATGAATTACAGTTTTTGCAATTATTACATTTATATTTATAAGTCTTATCAAATTTATTCTTTGACACAAAACTGGTATTTAAATTTTGGTTTCTGTAAAATAAATAAAATTATGAAAAATATTTTAAAATATATCAGGTTATTAGGGAACCATAAATAAATTTTAATATTTTAAAGTTGCAAGTAGTTTATTCGGAATGAGTTCGTACTTCGGCGGCCAATTTCTGTACATGGGCATGGCTTTGTTCCACAGCGCTAGTCTTACGAGCTTTCGTAGTGGGAAAAGCATCTGACCGTCGCGAACAAAAACTGGTCGCCGCCGAGCTACGATTTCATTCCGAATAGACTATAGTTAGTAAAACAAATTATAAATTGAACTTACTTAAAGGCATAATCAAACATGTAATATCCACAACCAATTGCAATAATAACAATAATGAAACTCAAACATCTAGACAATATAAGAATAAAATATTTAATAAAAATCAAGTTCAATAACAAAAATAATAACATTTTAATATTAGCAAGCAATGTAAACTATTTATTATATATAGTATGACTACCAATAATAGAAAAGAAATTTATTTTTAAACTAAATAGTCAAAATTTGATAATAAAATTAATTTTTTTATCAATATTAAAAACGCAAGTAAAAATTAACTACTAATTCCTTGTATTGTAATATGATACCTAAAATATATAACCGTTGTTTATCATCTAAATATGTATAAATAACCTATATTGTTATAATAATTCTAACTTATAAGCAAATAATTTGTAATTATTTTTTAATTTTGAAATTAAACTAGAAGTACCTGTTGCAGTAAAAATGATTGAAAAACTTGTTGATATGTACTATTCTACATTTATAGTTATAACAATGAATTTATTAAATGTTAATACATTAATGATGGTAAATAGGTAAAAAATTGCCTTGCCTTATAATTAATTATATTGCAAACATATGTAAAATTATATGCAGACAATTTTAATTATCACAATTTAGATAACACGGTATGTTAAGATTTAATCACACTATTTTTTTCTTTCTAACTTACATTAAAAAAAGTAAATATTTATTCAACAAACTTTTATTATGTTAACTTTAACATTAGAATAAATTTATTTATTCAAAGTTAAGAACACTATCTGTGTTTTATAAGATTAAAATTCTTCTGGAATTTATGAGCATTAATTATAATTGAAATATTATAAAAAAGTAAAATAAAAACAATTATTATGCTCTTAACTTAATTTTAAACAATAATTTTACTCTAATATCAAACTAACACAATATTGGTTTTGTTGCACTTAAATTTACTGAGTTGCACGTAAGTCAGAAAAAGAAAACACCATTTGTTATGATATTCTTTTAGGAAAAAAAAATTATTTATCAATTGATAAAAAACAGTAAAGAAGTAAATGCATGCAATGCATGTAAAGTAGTGCTGACAGCCGATGCAATATTTAATTTTTACATAGTGTTTTATAAACCTACTATATTTTGAAGTAACGTGATAAACATAAACTAAAGATTAAAGAATATTTTCTAAAATAAATAACAGTATTATAAAGATTAGAATATGCTCTAATAATCAGTTCAAAAAAAAAAAATGAGTAAAAAACAAATGAACAAAATTTGCAGGTACCTATAAATTGAATGAAATACTTTTTAAAACTCCTAACATATTGCGTAGTCACAATGGAGTTGTGCATTGAAGCGTTCGTGACTTACCCCCAAACAAACAGATTGAACAGAAGTACACAGCTAATGGTCACTACGCCATAGTAAACAATCCTGTCATCTGTCAACAGGTCGAGGATGTCTTTCATTTTGCTCCATAACAAACACCCAAAGCGACGTGTAGGAATGTAGGAAACCAACTATGGGCCATAAAACACGAATAGGTCGACTACGACATTAGTCATTGTCGATTATCTAATTATTTACAACTAACGACAATTATTTTGACGACGGTATAATAACACTCTGGTATTGTGTTACACGCGTAAATGTAAAATAATATAATATTTATTGTAATGAGCCAGTGATTTGTTACGAATTTGTGCGTTATCTTATCAACGGTGACAGTGATTACATTTTTATCATCGGGCGTGCTCGTACTTCGAAATATATATATATATATATATATGAAACTGAATAACGGGCGCGGCTCGTAAGTATATATGGTTATACGATCGATATACCATAATAATATGCAGTGTGTATATATACATTATACATATTATTTTAATATGGGTACATTATATTATATTATATTCTTTAAAAATCGTTCATTATAATAGTATGCACGGCAGTCGGCGTCGATTGAATATTTTATAATATCACAATAAATTACCTATTGTAATATGTAGGTATTATGTTTTACATTGACATTTTTTTTTTTTTTTTATAAATGGTACCCGCAGACTAATAGCTTTGGATATTTTATATTTTTTTGAAGGTAAGATGATTAGAACTTATATAGTCTATGGAAGGAATCGAACAGTTGAATATCAACGATGATCTAAAATTAAATTAAAATTACTTATTTATTTAATTTTTATAACAATAAAAAAAATCGTTTTAAAACGAAGGAGGCGAACAACATTTGAACTTCAATGCTTATTACAATATTAAATACAATTTTTATAATCGATGTAATAAGTAACTCGTGAAAGACATTTTAAAGCTTGTTTGGTGATATAGGTACCTAGATAGGTATTTAAGGTATTTATTATTTAAATTGAATAGGTATCTTATGAATTTTTGAAACAAAATGATTCACAAGTTTTTAAGATTTTGAATACCAAAAACGATTTTTAATATCTAATATCTATTAATAATAAAAAAATAAAAACTTAGAATTTCGTCATACGACGTAATAAAATTATACACAACAATGTTTTTTCTGAGTGGAACGATTAATTCTTTTATTGTATTTAAAGTAACAAAAATCAACAAAATTGCAATAAAATTTTAAAAAAGTCAATAATTGTAAAAAGTTGCACTTAACATTTTTTAGATATTAATTTGTATTTGTTTGAAATAAATTTATAACCTACTTCATAACAAATCCGAACAATAGAAAAAAATGTTGCAAATGCAATAACATCTGAGCCCTATAGTTATAAAACTGAAAGTATTAAAATTAAGTACGCCGAAAAACGACGTGTAGTTATGGACTATGGTTCATTACTAATGACTGGATTTATACGCACAAAAATATGTTTCTAAAAATGTTGTAATGTACTACAATAAATATACATTATTAATTATTATTATTAAATATTCATTAAAATAAATTATAAAAATTGAATACAAAAAAATAAAGTATTAAAAATGGTATAAAAATGTTTTGAAAGTATATAAAAATATTTCGTCATCTTCGCAATTTAGCATTCTTTTTCTTCAATCTATAAAAATATATTAGTCCACATTAATAAAAAATTAAAACAAAAACTGATCTATATTAATATATTATACGTATATATTACAAATGAGTATATTATTTTATTTTTGGCAATAACGACCGGACGTAACTTCATTGATATTATGTGGCTGTAGACGTGAAAATACGACGAAAAATATATTTATGTGCTATAAATAATAATATGCAGTATGAAACTACTAATATGCATTAAACAGTGGCGTAAATTGAACCCAATTTCTGGTGGTGCAGAGGCAATATCCTCAATCTATAACTTCCAAAACACCTATAATCCAACTTCTTAAATAAAACCCTTCCTAATAAATTATATATTTTCCCATATATTTGTTTAAATAATAAATAAACATTGAATTATTTATAATTATTTATTTGGTAACCACAGAAATTCTGTGGTTACCATAAATAATAATCTAATTATCTATGGCGGTTACAAAATTTTAGAATATAGATATGAATAATAATTTAATTGATGAATTCATGCACGAAAATTACAATTTTGTACCTATTTATGCAGGGGCGTGCCTAGAAATTTTTTTCGGGGGGGGGTTCAATATTTTTACTAACACGTACCTATTTTAAGAGTATAAGTGTATTTATTTTACTAGATAATAGATATTAATTGGCCATATATACAATATTCAAACAACATACATATGTCAGATCGAGTCATATTATTCAATAGTAATATTAAAAAAAATAATAATAATAATACATAATAATTTATAATACATTAAAATACATTTTAAATAATTTTTCGATATATATATATATAATTAGTTATTAGATAATATAAAAAAAAATCCTTGTCTTCGAGGAATTAAAGCGAACCTTCTCACCACTTCATTAGGATCAACGTTAATTTCTTTTTGAATTGAAAGAAGAGCTAACCCAGTTAACCGATCTTCGCCAGTTGTGTTGCGCAGATATGTTTTGAGACGCCGTAAAGTAGAAAAGGTTCTTTCTGCAGTTGCCGTAGACACGGGTAAAGTTGCTAATATTTCCAACAGTTTTCTTATATTTGGGAAAAATCTTTCATCACATTCTAATAAAGACTCTACTGCATTTGAAGGTTTTTTTTCAATGTTATCTTTTAACCATTTTAATTTCCATGTGGAGAATTCTTCATTAAATACTGTAGAATCTGGCAATAAACTTTCATAAAAGATTATAGTATCTTTTGATAGATCTAGTGAATTTACATTAATACGACTTGGAATTAATTTTTCTAAGTCGGTTATTATTTGTTTATGTTTTATAAAACGGTCTGATAAATGAACAATGGTATGGTCTAAAAATGAATTAAATATTGTGCGTCTGTAATACTCTTCAGGCGATTGTGAAGGAGTATTATCCCGGTTTGTTTGTTTTTTTACACAGCGAGGAATTGTCACTTCACTACCTACATCAATAAGTATTTGATTACATTTATCATATATTAATTTAAAATTGGAATCACTGTTTTCACGAAGGTTACTAAGAGCATCAATTATATTTTGAACATGATCACATGCAGCAGTTAAATATATTATATATATATATATATATATATATATATATATATATTACATATTATATACATTATAATATATTATATATTATAATATTATGTAAAACTTTATTAACAATTATTTTATTTTTCGAGTTTGAACACCAAAACCCTGGCAGCGCCCTGTATTTATGTATATATTATACAAAAAGATAGTACAAAATTAAAAATAATATTAAAGGTATATAAATTTTATTTTAATGATTTTTTGGTGGTGCAAAAACATACATTAGCATCAAAATATCTCAGATGTGGTGGTGCAAATGCAATTTACCCTACTGGCATTAAATATGCATTTAATAGATAAAACCGTAAAATATGCAAAATACATTAAGTTTTATTGTAGGTAAACTTTTAAATTATATGCGAATTGTTTACCTAAATTAGGTTTTAAGCTCAACTGACTACTTATTTACCGGTTCACGTCAATATTTATTAATTAAATTTATGCAAATTATAACTTAATATGTTATTTGCTAAATGTAACGTGATTTTAAATCATCGCAAATAAAAATGGCGACTGTGCACAGACTATAATGTCGATTGTTTTTCCGTCCGAAATAACCAGGGTCTCATGTTGCCGAGTCACGCTTCGCTGTATTTTTACAGAGCATTCATCGCGTATTTTATCACACAACGACGTGTCGAATAAAAATCGACAGAAATAATTATTAAATTTATATTGTTAATTTCACAGCAACATCGAATTGTCTCGAATCTGCGCGTGTGGCGTTATTAAATAAAAAGAATATACGTCACCCTAGAAGTTAGCATAATATATTGCTTCGCCGGTCTGATCTATTTTTATCAATAATTTGCTTGCTAAAATATATTATCATAACTTATACTTACTTAATATATAGTTATATAATGATATGTTATAAAATTATATTTACTGTTGTTTACATTATACGATAGCAAATTTAAATGTATAAGTAGACGAGAGAGAGAGTCAACAAATGCATTTATCGTTTCTCTCAAAATCTTGAATTGTTCTCCAATCATGGTAAAATTATAAATTATAAATATAATGACTAAGGACAGGATTTATATGCACAAAAAATCCTCACAATATGTTTCTAAAAATGCTGTAATATGCTGTAGCATTTACAATAAATATACATTATTATTATTAAGGTATAGTCACTAAAAATTGAATCGAAAATATTTTAATTAAAATTATGTAAAAAATAAGAATTAATTAATTAAGTATTAAAAATGGTATAAAAATGTTTTAAAAGTATATAAAAGTATTTGTATTTCGTCATTTTCGCAATTTAACGTTCATTACCTTCAATCTATAAAATATTAGTCCACGTTAATAGAAAATTAAAACAAAAGTTAATCTATATTAATATATTATACATATATTATGTTGTATATGAGTATACTCGTATCATCTTGTCTTTGGCAATAACGACCGATAGTAATTTCATCGATATTATGTGGCTGTGAACGTGAAAATACGACAAAATACAAAATGTAATAGGTATGTGCTATCAATAATAATTTGCACTATGAAACTTCAAACTACTATATAATAAGTAATACAATGCATTAAATATGCATTTCTTAAGTAAAACCGTGTGTTATTTTAATGAGAATTCTCATCAGATTTCAAAAACCTTATTCCAATACGTACATGCATTTACATATAAATCGGGTCCCTACTCATTACCCACCGACAAAATAAGTGGCTAAATTTTACAATCCCCTTGACATTTCCATTCCGATAACATACGCTTGCCGACAAACTGATAAGTGATAATATGAGTTCCGATCTTCTGAATCTGAACAGTATCAAAATATTGATAAAAGAAAAAGTTATAATATTAATTTCTTTCTGGTTTTGTAATTTGTATGCCTATTTCTTATTGTTATTACTTATTGCACTGTTGTGCTCTTGAGCTCGTTATCGTCTTGCCGTTTACGCTTACATAAACATATCTATCACAATCGTTGTAAACAAAATATAAATATATTGCCATGGACAAATTACTGTACGTCGTCTCGGCCACGCATTTAGTTCTCTGCCCGTTCACCAAAGTCGAAGAAAGTTTCAACATACAAGCAATGCACGACATTTTGTACTTGAAAAGTAATTTATCCCAGGTGTGTGTTAACAAAATTCTATTGTCGAAAAAGTCTTTACGATCGTCTGTGCGAATGTTTACACGTCCAAATTTCATTGCTAAGTTGTCTAGTTGAGAACCCCTATTTGCTTTTTATGGCAAGGATGTATCATATAATTGGAAAAAATCTAAAGATCTTTGTATCTATTTTAATTTGAAAATTCTTAAAGATATTTTAAAATTTTTTAATTAAAATAGACTGGTACACTTTAAAAATTATTAGTTAAATTGAGAATGATAAATCTATTTGATATTATATTAAATATTTTCTTAAAATAAAAACTATCTCCAGTTTAAATTGAAAAGAAAATTTAGTTAAAAAAATATTTTGACTATGTTAACAACTAAAAAATAATAATTGAATAGAATATTAAATTAAAAGAGAAAAATCTTGTTTACAATTTGATGTAAGTAAAATTTTATTCTTTACAATGTTTTTGATTATAAAAGAGTTAACCTATATTATTAAATATTTTTATTGATTAATATTCTAATGAGAGGTTAATATTTTTCCAATATGAATTTAAAATACAATTTGTTTGATTTAGTGTGAATTTATATTTTTTGTATCATATGAACATTTATATATTTATATACATTTATCTTTATTAATATTTTAGTAAACCTATGTTATTAAACAATTATGTTACAAATACAATAATATTTATTTTTTTCAGTATGATCATTTAGAATTTCCTGGGGTTGTACCAAGGACATTTTTGGGTCCACTGTTCATATCAATATTGTCATTTCCATTTTCTATTGTTTTTAAATATCTTCAGTTCAATAAAATGTTCAATCAATTATTAGGTAAACTTATCATAGTATTTATTATTGTTTATATAAACATATACGTTAAAAATAATTAATACTTTAATTTACAGTTCGTGCAGTGTTAAGTATTGTAGTAGTTACAAGTATCAAATACTTTAATAAAAGCATTTCAAAAGTATTTGGAAATGGTGTTGGAAATTGGTTTATAATCTTAACAGCATCACAATACCATTTAATGTTTTATTCAAGTCGTCCACTCCCTAATATCATGGCATTTCCTTTAGGTCAGTATTTATTTGGTAAAAGTAAAATCTTTTTATAATATTTATATTTACAGTATTACACATATTTACATAATACAGTTTACAAATTATATTTAAAATGTTTATGATATTCATATGTGATTATATACGACTGTATGAGTAAGAGTTAATGATTTAAAAAGTTCTAAATTACTTATTATTTATTATCTAAACATTTGTTTATTTTACCCATATAATTTATAGCAATATTGATAGATATTTATATCAGTATATTATATTAATTTTAAATATTAAAATAAGAAAAGAATAATGAAGTATATTTAAAATGTATTGTTTCATGTTTTATTTTTTAATTGTAGAGTATAGGTTAAATAATCATTTATACATAATGTGTTAATATAAGCCAAAATTATATTAGTTGAAAAATTTTAAGTTATACTGGTTTTTTTGTTAGGGATACAGTAATGGTAGCATTGAGTTCTTGGATTAGAGGAAAACATACTTTATTAATATGGAGTTCGGCGATTGCTGTTTTAATTTTCCGTTCAGAATTGGTTATTTATCTTGGTATTATTATACTGATGGAATTGTTTTATAAACGTCTTAAATTATTCCGGTATGTGTTACAGTTACTATTACTTTATTGATTTAGATTTAAGTTTATGTAATTAAATGCATTTAAAATTTCTATTCTTTAGGGGATTAAAACTTGGATTTTTGGCGGCTGTAACTGTTTTGACCACAAGTATTGTCATTGACTCTATATTTTGGGATCGCTTAGTGTGGCCTGAAGGAGAAGTTTTATGGTTTAATACAGTACTCAATAAAAGCAGCGAATGGGGTGTATCCTTTTTAAAATTATTTGTGAATAGATGTTTAAAACAGCTAAATAAAACATTTACTAAAAGATTATATAAAAAAATTTTAATTTAAATATTCTTAAAACTTTATCATATGGATATTGGAAACAGATAGATGAAATAATGATTGAGTTCTAAAGCAGTCGAATTTCAGATAATATGGTAAATAATAATAAGTATGATGGCTCACAATTATGATTAAATATTGTTACTCAAATAATATATTGTAAGAATAAAATAGCTTGTAAATATTATATAGATTTAATTTATTAAAATAATGTAATGTATTAGTCAACCAAAAAATGAATGATAATTATAGTTGTATACTTGTATTATTTATTATTATGTGATTAGTTATTGCTGTTACTTATAAACAATTTCAGTTAAATAAAAAATCTATTTGATAATAATAACTTGAAAAATAATAAGTATTATTATGGTGATACACTTGATGACATTATTTTTATCAATATTGCTTATGACTTATGAGTAATTATATTTTTTAATATGTATGTATTTTTTCTTAATTATATAAAATTAGACTAAACCATTTTTATGGTACTTTTATTCAGCAATACCACGAGGTGTTGCACTTTCTTTATTGTTCATACCATTTGGTGTGTTATACGATATTCGAGTAACAAGACTTCTTATTCCGACATTGATGTTTGTACTGATTTATTCGATACTACCACATAAAGAGCTTCGGTTTATCATTTATATAATTCCAGTTTTAAACGTATCTACTGCTTCCATTTGCAATAAAGTGTATGTTCAACTGTTAAAACTAAACTACTATCTAGTTAATAAGATTAACTTTTTTACTGTTTACAGATGGCAAACTAGGTTTAAACCAAAAGGATTCAAAAATGTACTTGCACTTTTATTCTGTACTGGTCATATTATTGGGAATTTAGTTTTTACAATATTTCTAATGAGTGCATCAATTAAAAATTATCCAGGAGGCCATGCAATGACACTATTACACACATTTGAAAACAATCATTTAGATGCTAATTATAGTATACACATTGACAATTATGCAGCACAAACTGGAGTAACTCGTTTTACACAACTCAGTGATCATTGGACGTAAGTAATACAACACAAAGTAATATTACCTTGAATATTTTGAATTGTTTTTTTTTTTTTTTTTGTAATTAACTGAATTAATAATAACGCGATTATTATATTATTGCAAAATGTAAATTAATTAATTTTACTTTGAACTTAAAAGATTTCAATTAATTCTATTAATTTAGTTAATTTATATTATTAATAAATTTAAATTCATGATGTTCGTTTACATGTATAACACTTTTAAGCATTTAAATTAATTTTTATTTTATTTAATTCCTAATAAATAAACAGTTACGTTGCAAAATATCATTTTAAATTAATTAATTTTAACTTTATTTATAGGTATAGTAAAAAAGAAAATCTGAAACCTGGATGTGAAGAGCTTATGTCTTTCACACATTTAATTGTTGGATCAAGTAGCCGAGATAATGAAGAAATGCTGCATTACAAAAATACTCATAGTGTCATGTCTACAGTACAAGGATTTTCACATGTATCATTTAATTATAATACTTTTCCACCATTAAAAATCAAAACTAAAACACAAATATTTTTGTTAAAAAAAAATAATATTAAATCAGGTGTTAAGCAAAATATAAAGAAAATTGTTGAAGAATTCAAAAACGAACAACATTCAGAAAAAAAAAATGATTTAAACTTAGATTTAATAGATAAAACTACTAAAAGAAATAAGCATAAACAAAAATAAATTAAAATTCAGTTCGTAATAAAACAAACTGTAATGAACTTATTATACCTAATATCATATTTCCTCGTAAAAATAAAAATAAAATGCCACTAAAGTGTAACAATTCAAATTGTTTTATAAAATTTCTAAAATAGTTTTTTAAAATTTTGTTTCTAAAATGAAATGAACATATTTTTTTCTATGGCTTACATTTGAAAGTGTTATCCTTAATATAATTTCATAATTGTTAGACTGAAGTAAAATTACCTATATGTTTATAAATTAAATGTATAGTCAGCATTTAATCTATTATTCTTCTTTAATTTCTTTAATCCAAGTCTTGATCTTAAATTAGTTGTCTAATTTATTAAAAAAAAAAAAAAAAATCATCAATGACTATAAAATATACAAACTATTATTGTTAAATATTTCATGTAACTATTGTATTATATATAATATTGTATATTAATACATAAAATACACATATTCAGTGGCACAAATTTTTGCTTATAAGGAGTGGGGCACTTGTTCCTGAAAATAATTTTGTTGGGGCTTACAAAATTGTATCTACTATAATAATTTTGTTTAACTTGATGTAACTGATATTGTTCTAAGGAAAAAAAAAATTGATTTTTTGTTAATAGTTAACGATGGTGGATTTGTGCTGGCTGATAAATTTCTAGATTTTCCCCAGTAAAAATAAAATGATTTGTACCACTGACTACTGCATGTATTAAAATTAAAATTGAAAATTGTTCTACAGTCAATTTTTAAAATTCGAATACTTTAACGGTTCCATTATTAACTGATATATTGTTTTTGCTAATCATTTTAGTAAAATTAAATTAAATCAATAAAATAAATGTTGTTGAAAATTTTAAAATTTTTAAAATGTTCATTGCATTTTGAAATATTATTAATATCATACTTGTTTCGGATTATGAAGCTAAAATTATACTTTTTTGTTTTAAATATGATGTAATATATCAAGCTGTACAAAGTATACATTACTCAAGTAATTTTCAAACTAATTTAAAATGATAAGTTTAATACTTTAAAATCCTAGTCAAATTAAAATAAAAATTATAAAAAATATTTTTTTAGTTTAAGTCTTAACTCTTATTTGAATTGTGTTATATTTATTATTTTAATCTATAAGGGCTAATTCATGTGAAAGGCATTTAATGTTCTTTGATGTTGATACCACTGTTCACATGATTACTGATTTTTCTTGTTCAGCGTGCGTTTATTCCCTTTATTTTCTTGTGATACCATGTGTTAGGTATAAGTATAAATGAACACATCATTGTAAATCTATGTATTTTTGAACTTGTTTTAACGTGCGTAGACAAAATATTTGTGTTATTGTTGCGTTGAATGTATGTTGCCCTCCAATGTGTGTTTTCATACATTCAATTAATAGTAATAATATAGTTGTTATAAACGTGTATTTAACGTCTTTGATGTGAATTAGCTCTAAATTATTTAATGAGAAGTGTATTTTTTTTTTCATAATCATTTGATATTCATTTAAAATTAATTAAAATTGTAACTTGTTTGGTAAGAAAATAAAGTTAATTTTACTAGCAGTTTATATCCTGTACTTAAAAATAAAAACTTGTTCCATATTAGTTAATCTTTTTAATGTTTAAGTTGATCAAAAGTTCTCTTTAAAGTGAATGTAGTATTTTAATTTAAAATTTTTAGTTGTTGCAAAACTTGTGTTAATCATTACGGTTAAAATCTTTTATTTCAGCTATCCAAGAAAAACAGAAAGTAGAGTAAGTAAACTTATACTCTATGATATTTACCAGTGGGTAGCTGAGTTTAACTGTTTGTAATCACTGATATTATACTTGTATTTCAAGATTTTTGATTCATTGTTACCTAGTTTAATAACTAAAGGTACCTATTTACTGAAAAGCATTAATTAGCCAAGAATACAATTTAATAATAAATAATAATCTGAAATATATGAATAGCAAACAAGTTTTTGATGGTTCTAATGAATCATATTGTGATTTCTTCATGATGATTTTTATGAATAGACCATGGAGTATGGAGAGGAGGTTATCAACTAGTTAAATAGTTAATTTTTTTTAAATTTTTTAACTTAACTAGTTAATTTTCTAATCAACTTATGAAATTAAGGAATTTAATTGATAGTTAGAACTCAGCATTTGCAGTTGATATTAGAAATTGTTTTGATTAAATTATGAACTATAAATTGTATTATTTTAATATTATTATAAATATGATCCCTTCAATTGCTACAATATATAAAAATAATAATATTTGTTAAATTATGAATTTGAGATGTGTATAGTTTAAATAAATAAATAATACATCATGTAACGTAAAAGGGTATTTACACTGTACAATGTAAATTATGATAAAAGTTTAATAAAATTGTTTTTTATAATTATTAAATTAGAAAGATATAAAGACATAGTCATTCTTCACATGATTTACATATTAATTTAAAAAAATAAATTAACTTTTTTTAAGCTGAGTTGAGTTAATATTTTTTTCTATACTACATTTTAACTTATCGAGTTAAATTTATAATTTGTTTACCGTTAACTTCTAACTTATCGATATTATGTTCTTTTAACTTCATTTGAGTTAATTATTTTCATTAACTTTACCACTTTTGGATTTAAGTATATCTACCAAGTAACATGTATAGATGTAAGTGTATATACATGATGAGGAGAAAAGAATGATGTGAAATTTGATGACAACTAAACTTCTGCTAGAAAAATGGTATTTTAATGGAATCACGAAATCGGAATTAAAATATGAGCAAAAAATGAGTGACATTTGTTTTTGGTTGACGTTGAAACTTATAGAATAACGTCATAGTGTTTCCACCCCTCCTCTCCCGTCACACAGCAATCGAATTTATCCATAATATATAAAATAGAAACGTATCTATTCTGCACACGCCATTAATACAACACACACTACAAGAATGTGATTTGGTTTGTGTTTTCATTTTGTTTCATTTTTTTGTGCTGAACGCAGCGGCGTATACGAAGCCACCGTTGTGTGGAACTGGCTGCCGTGTGAAGAATTGGCTGGGCTCGACCTCATCTGGTGGACCGAAACTGTGAACGATTTCTTCAGGGGGACGTTGGTTGCAGTCACCGGTGGTGTATTTTCCTTTGAAGATGAAATTGTAAACGGACCTGGGCACGATGGTGCTAAGTGGGCGCAATCCCGCTGGCGGATCCTTGGTGAACGGTGGCACTAGTTTGCCATTATTCAGCGAAACGGTTAAAAATTTCAGGTATAGGTCGCGTTCTTCGCGCATATCGTCGCTTTCCTTCATCGTATCTATCCTGCGCAAAACAGACATCTTCCGGTCTCATCACGAATTAATTACATAAAACAATATTTAAATAGTTGCCTACTGAGTGGCTTACATAGAGTCGTAAAAGGATCAACCTTCCAAAACTTCTTCCTTTAAGGTAATATAATATGTAATTTTTAAATGTAATTAAAACCAGACGAGAAATATTTAGATTAGGTCTAGACCAGATTAAGATTTTTGATGTTCTGTGTGAAATTTTTTAGAGGTTTTTATATGTAATAATAAAAATAAATTGTTCACAGATGTATTTTTAATTTATGGATAAATGGATTCATAGACATTTAAGTAAGATTATAAAAGTTAATTATTAACACATGGTTTCTTTTTGTCTTGTGATACGCGGTAACATATAAGTACTTACAGATATCATTTTTTGTCGTGAAAATCAAAATTCTCAGAAATATTACCTGTCGATCCACGTATACACTTTGTTGCGTTCTTTGACTGACATGAGTTGCGCGAGCACAATCGCGTATTGCCGATCGCACGCGTATGATTCGTCCGAGAAAGCTGTTAGTGGTTCGATCGACAACTGTTTCTTTTCTATCAAATCGACGGTTGGCGATTGTTTGGACGCAGCAACATCTACGATATCCGCTGGCGGTTCATTGACTGCGGGTGAAGACATTTGATCCGTATACGTTTAATATTTTCAGCAATATTAGGTACAATAATTTTACGGGTCGACAATTAGGTACATGAAAATTCGAACGAAACCGTCCGCAAAATGGAAACTATTGGGGACGACTGAAAACCCAGTGTGTAGATACGAATTGTTTGGTTGGAGCTAATGTTATACAGCACTTTGAGGTGTCATGGTTACGTATCCGAAGTCTTCTATCGTTTGTTGAGCAAATAGTATTACATTTTTATTGTAATTTAGGTATAGTACAGGATTATTATTTTAACAGCAAACCAGGAGCGTATTTTACTAGTGGTTATGGTGGACGGAGTTCTAATATTTGTATATACCTACTTATTTCGCACTATTCAATATAAATTATATTTTTCTTTGATCTAAGTACAAACAGTTTAGTAAGTTACAAATTGAAACTATATAAATCATATATTTATATCGAACTAGCGGTAGACTATATTTTTAAAATATACATAAAAATATTCAAGTTTATAAATCTAGGCATCATCTAATAAAATAAATAAGAATGCTCGAAGGAAAGTTTTTGGGTAATACCTCTTATCGTTTTCCTCAAAAATTCCTTCGTTATCATCAGACTCGTTATTTAAAACAATTTATAAAAGCTCTTACAATGCTTAAAGATAGAAGTAAAAAATTAGGTTTCGAAAACGGGAAGTACCTATAAAAGAAAGGTAATATAAATTATCGAATGATGCAATATGGATTTACAATAACGAATTATATTTCTTGGACATATTGAATTTTTTGTAATAATGATAAAAATGTCTCGGTCAGGACATTTTAAAGCCTAAACCCTTATTGTGGCTTTATCCACATTATAGATTTTTAATTAGTGAATAGAGAAAATGAATGAAGAGATACGTTACATGAATATTTTTCTAGAGTTTAAACAAATGTTTTTAACAAAACATTTGTGTAACTTTTTTATATTTTCATGTAGACAGTTTTCTATATCCCCGGGAATTTTCAATCTTTGTCAGCATTAAAAAGAGCGTAAGGATGCAGTGTGCCTTGCCTTTATACTTCCGTAATTTTTCTGATGTAAACATGGTAACCCTGGCTTATATTGAAAAATCAATAAGAAAATGATGTAAAGTTTAGAATTTCATTTGCACTTGTAGCTAATAAATACGTAATAAAAACTTAAAGCTATAATAATGATTTTGTTTAATTTTGAAACGGAAAATATGGAAAAATCCAAATCATCAACCAACGGCAATGAAACAAGTAAGTATAATGTAGAGAGTGTTTGTTTATTGAAATCATGAGTTTTACGTTAAATATTATGTATATAATAATTACATGTACGATTAATAGAAAGTACTATGAAAATTTTCATATTAAAATAAATTAAATCAAAGTATATTTATAATATATTAATTTAAGAATTAATCATCTCCTTGATGACCGTGGGTAAATTATTAATTTTAATAATTTTTAAATTAAAAAAAAATTTAATTGATTAATTAGTTAACACAGAAAGAATGATATATTTTATTTGCATACAATAATTCAATAATATAATACGTATGATTTATAATTTTTCAAAATAACATTAGGTACCTAATTTAAAAATAAATACACTTTCAAAACTTTATTATAATATCATACAATATATTTGTATACATTTACATTTGGATCATAATCAGCTCGCACTTTTCATATAGGTATATAGATATATTCCTTTATAAATATATATTATATACATAATTATTACAATATATGGGTGTATAATAATAAGAAAAACAACAATAAACTTATTGATTCGTTACCTCGAATGAAGTCTGTAATATTATTATGTCTATATTCACCGTTTTACACCGTTTGAGTGGATAGCAAGGTAAAACTAATATACGAGTCGTACTTTTATTGTTCCACTTAGATTCTAAAATATAATTGATTTTAAAATATTTTAGCTTAATAAACTAGATTGATCTCAATATAAATCTTAATAGTTTTGAACATAAAAATATAATTACAAAAAAAAAAAAAAAAAATCAATGTGGTATATGACACCTTCAGTCAACAGTCTCCGCTACTGCCTCTACAACAGTCAACAGTACACCTTTTCATAGTACACACATACTGCACATTTATATTATATAAATATTTATGTATAATCCATTTTTTTATAGTAATATAAGGTAACGTTTGTGTGTTTTACAGCTTGTAAATCACATTCATGGTTTTAAATTTGGTACATAAGTAATCCTATATATGAGCATCTCAAACTCAATTTTTTAAATTTTTCATTTTAAAGAGAAGCCTATTTAGCAGAGGCATCATTTCAGGTTTTATTTTGAGTGTGTAAGGTTTCAAACAGGCCATATAAAAATAGATTTAGGTATATGTACATTATCCTGTTTTCAATTATTTCATACACTATGGACCGAATCATTGCATTAACATAAATATTAAAAATCAATTTAAAAATTAAAATATAATAAATAATTAATTACCTTAACAGTGAAAACCAATAATCGATGTATAAAAAATTAGAAGAAGAAATGCAACAGTAAATAAAAAAAGTATGTACTTAATATCTAAATTTATAAATTGAAGTTTATAATTTTTGTAAAAGCAAAGTGTTCAAAAAACAAAAAAATATTTTAAATTTAAATAATAGACACTGGTGATTTTTAAGATTAACAAATACATCTACAGCTTCTTCTAGATTGGTATTGTTATTTGTTAACTTCTGTTTTATCAACATTAAGTACCATTAGAACGTCTTAGTCTTTCATCATTTAAGGTAGGCCGTAAATATGACTTCACTGTTTTGAGTGATGAAATTAAGCCTTTCATTTGATGCTATTTTAATTGGTAAAAAATTACCAATGAAATAATGTTTAAAGTTTAAACAAAAACAAGAGGAAAGTCTTATAGACAATATGCTATAAAAATTTATCCTATAATCAAATAAATTTGATTTGTATATCCAAATCAATATCATGTTTGTCATTAAATAATGCTTTTGATGACGGAAACTTCGAAGCAATATGAATTTCATTAAAATTTTGTTTTAATTGTAAAATAATTGTAATAATGTAATCTGGTATATGGATTTTATAATATTATCAGTTTATTTCCGTGCGGCATAAAATGCGATAACAACAGTGAAACAATTATTTTTTGGAACAATTAACACCATGTTATCTATTGTTTACTTAATTAATTGATAGCACGATATTTGTTTATAATCAATGTAATTTAAAGTTGTAATGATGATTTATAGTATACCAATACTGATAAAAAATGTTAATATAACAATTAAAATACAATTTATTTATTTATTTTTTATTGATCTTATTTAAGCCCGGCAACTGGGGTCATTAGATGTGCATAGGAACAGTAGGTTTTTTGTGTAAGGTTTGTTTGAAAGGTTTAGTTAGTAGGGTTGAAACACGCGTGTGTATGTGTGTGAGCCATAGATTCGTCATTAAGAACTCAGGTGCTCACCCATCTGAGAGCTAGCGATGCTGGCAGATGCTTGACCTCAGAACACATAAGTGCCACATAATTTAATTTTAACTATATTAATAACTGTGCATTATTTTAGCAGGGCGGAGGCTGATTATAACTATTTTAAAAGTAGGTAAAAGGGGTGCAACCGCACACTTTGACCTTCTCTAAATGATGCCCCTGTAGTTAGAGATTTGATCGTTTACGAATAATGAATATATTTTGTTTGCTTAGGGTTACCTTTGGTCGGTACATAAAAAAAAACAATTATTATAATTGGATATAATTTTAGATTTGTATTTTATATTTTGTCTAAACCACTTAAATGGTTGTGTCAAAAATTTGTCTAGTTTATAAAATATTTAGGTCAAAATAAAACATTGTTAATATTTCAGTTATTGCAAATGTAAACTAGCAAATTTATAAAGCTTATACATTATGTAGATATTTTGAAATGAAATTTAATAATTTTAACTGTTTATTCAAAATGTGATAATTCGTGAAATTAAAGATTGATAGGCGATCTGTGCTGGAGATGTGGAGTATATTATTATATACTCGGTAAATTAAAATTAAAGGACCGGGCGTGTTACGATTAAGTATAAACACAATTAAGTCATTCATTAAATAAAAATAACTATACCTATTTATTTTAACAATAATAAGTAAAAAAAAAATAAACTAATTTGCTAAAAAAGAAAACTGATTGTTTTTTTTCTCTAAAAATTCTAAATAAAATGTTAAATTTAATTATTAACAAATAATTTATTGATTACAATAAAATAATAAAATAATAAATTATTTATTAATTATTAATAATTATTTAATTATTTATTGATAACATCCAATAAATAACGTTATACTATCAATAAATTTTATGTTATTATAATGTTTTAACTAGATTAGATTATTATAATTTATAAGCAATATAAGCTTGGTTTCAATATTGATATTATATGTATCGTATTAAATTCTTTAAATTACATATGCAATTAGGTATCTATGTTGTATGTTAATAACATAGATTGATTTCAATAAATGAATAAATCAAAAATAAATTAGATATTTTATGAATAATATTTTATTCAATAGAAATTAGCACTTAATTATTTCTTTTGTTTTCATGTGTTAAAAAAATACTAGAAGAAAAAGTGTCACAAGATGATGTAAATCTTGATGAAGAATTCAAAGGTGCATCAGATTGCTCTGGGCCCAAACCCAAAGAGAATGGATGGATGAACTTTGACTTCGCTGATAATATAATATATATTTTGTTTTTTCTCGCCTTAATCTTGATTGTGGGTTTAGCATATATCGCGGCTCGCATTCTATGCTTTGCCATACAGAACAAAATAGATATTTCTAATATTTTAAGCCACTTAGAATGTTAATAACAAAAGAAAAATGATTTCATCACTAAAACATGCATTGTTGCATTTTGTACACTTTAAATATTACTAGTTGATATAGATTATCATACTACCTATTTACACACACAAGTTTATATTAAACTCGTA